GCAGAACTATTGTCATGACAACATTCAAGAATGTGACACAAAATTCTCCGCCCTGAGGCAAGAATAAATTCCCTGCGGCCGCCACGCGAGGAGACTCGCCAGTTTACAACCGAGTATTCAAGGTCAAAATCAATGCGTGCGAAGGTCGATGCTTTATAAGCAAGAACTTCTGCATGGCAGGAGCTAAGTTTCCCGCTGCAGTAACCCTGACCTTGCCTTCCCTCTCTTTCCCTTTCACCTCTCACTCTCTATCTCTCTCTCTATCTCTTCCTCTCTCTCTCTCTCGTCTCCTGCATGGGCCGAGGGTTGCCCTTGCCCACCTCACATCATCGGGACCAAGTCTGCTACCTGTGCTATAGGGTCATCTGCATTCTAACCCTGGGCAAAACTTCTAATATTATAGGATTCATGTTACTCATCACATTACATACAAATGTTCCTGAAAACTATTGCAATGAAATAAATAATATTTTGGGTCGCATGCCTATGATTTCCCAGGTATATATAAATTTAAAACTTGCGCTGTGAAGAATATTATTGAGCATGTGAACAAATTTTAAAACTTATCTGGGCTGAGCTAATAAACATTATTTGCACGTAAAACACCTTAGAATCAATCACTTTACTTCGTCTGATCAATCCTGACAAAGATCGTCGTCATGCTTGAAATAAAATTTGTCAGCGATGTAGGTTTTTATGATCTATACTTCACACGATATGAATTTGGGTTATAATTTTATTTCAGCTTTTAGATGCACTTCATTTTTCATCGATATCTTTTTCCTATAAGATTGTTTGCAATGTTAACAAAATCATAGGGAATAAGCACTAACCGGCTGTAACTCATAATCTATTAACTTCAAAGTATTCGCTTGTTTTTTATACTGTAAATGACGGCATGGAAAGAGAATGGCCAGAGACCACTGGCCACTGTAACAGAACTAATTTAATTGCTATTCTCAGGCCGATAGTAAATGGCCGTATAGAGAAGGCTGCAGAGAATACGCTTTCATAAAGTAATTGCCACCTCTAATCAATTAAGATGATCTTCCGCTTGAAAAATTGCATGATGAATGATACATGAAGCTATACAAGTGGATGAAAGGGGCTCAGATGTAGCAACTCTTGCATGAGATGGAGCTTTTGTTGCGACGTAATCCAGATTCAGTTGATGGAAGCGTGGAATGAAATGAAAACCGTGCCAAATGAATGGCAGTTATGTGATTTGTCATGAATACCTTCTATTTACGAATTTCAATGATCATTGGAATGCAAGTTGGGAATTCGAAAGTCATGGTAGTCTCAATGCGGCATATCTTAACTGATACCTGGGCCTGATACAAAGAAATTATTATACGCTGCGATAGCAGCATATCATAATTATAGAAGGAGACTATACATGAAATTTGGCAGAAAATCAAAGAAAAGTACAACAACAAATTTAATATTATTGCAATTCACCTAAATAACGTCTGTCTACGTTATTCGTTTCACTGTCTATGTTATTCGTGTTGCAATCTACAGTGAACTTGAAGCTGTAACACAGGAAAAAATTAGCTTCTAATAAATTTGATGAGTTTTCAAAGCATTCGTGAAGCAACACACACTAATTAACCTAAAATTCATTTAAAGATGATCAACGGGTCATGCTGTTCACTAAGTAACGGAAAAATTAATTGGTTTGTCACAAAATTTGCAGTCATTCTTGATGACTGCGCGATCATTGTGTGACTTAGCCAACATGGATCACTAGCTTCATAGCTGCCCTAACTTCAACCTTTTTGCTTTTTATTTTAACTATTGAACTTATCTCAGGATAAATTCCATGGAATTATTCCATAAACACAATAAATTAAGGCGGCAAACTCTTATGCCCCGCTTCACGTGAATTGATAATGCAGGCTAGTGCTTCTTTTATGAGCAGCGCGAGGTTGCCGACCATCAATAAAGTATTCCTGCTTACGAGCGAGATGGACGACGGCCTATCGTCGGCCGACCATAAACCTCTCGTAATATATGATGCAGTGAGCCAGCGGCTCAAGGTCGTTTCTTGAATACATACGGAAATTGATTCATTAAATGCTAGCTTTATGCAAAACTGAACGAGATGAGCTTGCACTCACCAAAACGGTTAGTTTATTATTAATTATTTAGCAGCAAGAAGTTAAGGGACTGGGTTTAAGTGAAATTTTTAATGATAAATTTTGAGCTCAATTTTTATTTGGTCTTTGAGATTATACCTTTATGTGACCGTTTTGATGTGTATTTCGTCGCTTGCATAAGCTCTTCAGCCAGGCGCATATATAATTATCACTGTGTACAAGTTTCCAGGTTTTACATTTGAATCCCTAAAAAAATCTATTCTAAATAATTTTAACCCGATAACGTAGTATTAACTAGGCTTCTTATCATATCCTTGCAGTTTTTTCTTGATAGTGATCATTTTTACTTGAAAAATCGAAAAGTCGGAAAGCTGCCTTAAGTTGTTTGATACAAATTCTGCTGATACCCTATCAATATTATGGAACACATGTTTCTCATTGTAACTTGCATCCTGCAGAGCACTTAAGTTAATTATACTTTATTTCTTGTTTACCGGATGCAACTGGAAACTTGAAATGATTAGAAACAACGTGACCGGACACATGATAATGTTTGCGAAAGAAAATCTTTTTCATGGTACATCTTCATAACATCACGAGCAAGCAACGGGAGATCATAAAAAAAATCCACTATAACAAACAACGTATGAACTATAGCAGAAATTCAGCATCAATAAAAGTTTTGCGTTTTAACGCGGAGAACCGGGTTCAGGTCCATCCGCAACACAAACACGAAACCTTCAATGCGCGGACCAGACTGTAAACATGAGTACCTTCATTTGGAACTTATGTAGCTCTAAACGGTTGTGGCAGCTTGAACATAATTCATTGTAGGCGCAGTTTGATGAAAATTAGTAGTATACACAAATTAAATAAGATTGGTTGTGGACGCTTCTTTTAGAAGCTCCGTTGTAGAAAGTCTGAAAAGCATTTTTTGTTTGCACAGTTTGGAGAAAATTTCTACAGAAGCACGAAAACGAGAAGTTTGAAAAATGAATTATTTCGCTCAAATTTCGTCCAAGTGACCGGTCAACTCGCATGGATGACTTCAAAATGGACGAAGAAAATTATTACGAAGGAAAAGCTGATCCAGAGTTGGCAGGTTTGTGAAGTTTCTTATATTATATCCACGTTTACAATAATCTTCAACAATTGTAGTTAGTTCTCTGTGATAGGTCTGCGGGCGTGAGTGATTCTTGAACTTACAAGCGTTGACTTATTCTGTAATGTAGAACAATAATGCAAGTTATCTTGCATTTGCATTTAGTTGAAATGTCCAGCATTTTTAACTCATTGCTTCTATTGCTAATAGTTTGTAACTCCTGAGCAGTTTTTCAGTAGTTCTGTCTAATTTGTTTAAATGATTATTTGAATGCATTTAAAATAAGCAGTAATATTTTGAATATTTTTTTAAGCGACTTTAGCGGTGAGAATTTGTTAATTTAGCATTAGGCGTCACGAATTCCACACTCATTTCTGTTCAAGTTTTATGAGTTCTAAAATTTTGCTTGAGATTTTTTAAACTAAAATTTTAAAACTTGCGAATGTTTGTTGTGTGGCGTTAACCTTTCGTATGTCCACTTGTTCGTTCGTGGCATCTGTAGTCTTAAATGCCCGCTGCGTTTTTTTCGTACAACGCCGACAAATCATTTCCTGGCAAACATGCGTCATGAAATAAAGCTGAGACTCGCGTAAACTTCTTCGTGATATGTCTGGTGCTTGCTCTCTCAACCATCGTGCTCGCATTGTACGTCCGTAGAAGTTTAAAAATGCCTTGACGCATTCGTATTGTGCAACACGTTTGTTGGCTTCTAAGTCCAATTGCTGCTGTTTCTCTTCCTAGCGAATAATTTAGTAAATATTTATCTGCCGAGTTTCGATAAAAAGTGTTTGGCTTTTGTGTTTGGACAGGTTTTGTGCTGAGAAAAATCGTCTGCTTCTTCTAAATTTATTTTATTTTATTTATTTAAAGCCCTCGCAACCAAATTGTTCTTAAACTATGAGAGTGACTTCTTATCATTATTTAAATCGGAATTACTTTTAAATGGAGAGTGAAGATATTTACAATCATTGTTAGTCAAATTACTTCTAAACTGTGAGTGGCATATCCGAATGGATTTTGAACTGAGAGGGACAATTTTTATCATTAGTTATAGCCAAAAAACTTTTAAACAGAGAGTGGAATTTTCATCTTTATTGAATACCAAAATGCGTGAAAACTGTGATTGCAACGTTTCATCCTTATTGACCACTAGAGTACTTCTAAACTGAGAGTGACACTTTTTGTCATTGTTGACCGCCACATTAATTATTTATATATGAAAGTGATTATTTTTCGCTTCATTTATAGCGAGAGTTTCTGTCATTACTGATAAAGTTTTCACGGAATATTTTTTTAGAATAAATTACTATAGAACACGAAGGCAGTGAAGGGCCCATTGCAACGAGATTTTATTGAATGCCAACAAAAAGAATATTTACATTAAAAAATAACAACAACGTCTCCTCAGGTCAACAGTGAACAGGTTTTTAGATGAATCATTTCCTGTTGATACTTTTCTCATGCAATTACAGTTAAAATTGTCGACATAAATTTAAAAATATGTGACGATTCGAAAACTAGGCTAAAATAGGCCTTGACATTTATACTCGGTTATATTATTGCCACTTATACTAGATAATATTATATGAGCTATATTATTTATAGCTATAGTCAGTTGTTAGTTTTATCACGAGGCAAATCATCAGTTGTTTGGTTCATCTCGCGTATTCTCGAGAGGTTACCTCAACATATGCAGGCAATTCGAGCCCGTTATTCCTCTACCAAACATCGCTGTGGAAAAGACTGCTAAGTTCCAGCCAAGCCCCCTGGGAAGCTATGGTAATGCTGCGACAAACCCTGACTCGTCCATGGTGACCGAGCGAGAGCGATCCAGTGCCTCAAGTTCTCACGGTGAATAAATCATTGTTATACTGCATTGAAATTGAAAAGTTTGTTTCAATTATTTTTTACCTCACGATATTGTTTTCAAATTATTACAATACTTCTCAAACATCAATTTCTATTTAATGTTTGCTCTCAATTATCAAGTGCACCCAGTCTTTCATTACAATATGTTTTATATTTTATATTTTTCATATAAAAATATACGCTTTTTTTCTTTCGTACAATACTTTCAATTCCAACTTACATCTAATAAAATATATATCTAATTTTTATTATTTTAACGCCTTCCTTACTATTTAAAACATGTCAAAGTCCTTCATGGACTGTAATTTTCATGTCTCTTTAATAAAAGCCTTCACCTAAACTCAATAAGGCCACGTTAGTTACAGTGGCGGAAATGGCTATACGACCACACGTTTGTTTCTGAATATTTTTCTTGTACCAAAAATACTGGATTCCGATTATACGAGGCTAAACTACGTGTAAAAACGGTTCCAACGCTATACGAAAAAAAAATTTCCAAAATATATGAGAAGAAATGATGAAATCTAGAAAAACCTAGATGGAAATGGTTATGAGACCATAATAGGATTTTCTTCATTTTAGTAGTTTTCTGTAATATATTAACGTTAAAATATACAGCAGCATAAAGAATATCCTGATTTTAGTCATTTAGGGTACTTCTGTTGTGTAATTCAGTGTCCTCTTTCATATTTTTCCGAAGTAAAAATGATGCCAACGGGGACATGACTAACAGAGGCCGAGAAGGCGCAGATTTTGGCATTTGCGAAATGCGGTGGAAGCCAACGGGACATTGCAAAGAAAATCAAACGATCAAAAACCATTGTACAATAATTTTTTGGTAATTTGGACGGCTACAGATCAAAAATGCACCCTGGACCAACCCCAAAATTAACCGACTGGGATCTTAGGCGACTGTTTTCAGAGGCTTCTAAAGTTGGAGCTACCTCTACTTCTATAAAATTGGCTACTGGAGTTGATGTGACCGCAAAACGAATCTGTTAGATATTATATGACTCGAAGAAATCCAAGTACATGAAGCGGAAAAATGCCCCTATGCTTAAACAAAAGCATGTTATCAACCTACTAAAACTATCTGAAAAAAATTTGTTTATCGGTGAGGGATTCAAGTACATGAAGCAGAAAAATGCCCCTATGCTTAAACAAAAGCATGTTATCAACCTACTAAAACTATCTGAAAAAAATTGTTTATCGGTGAGGGATATCTTCAGTGATGAAAATTATGATGGTGAGGGATTATCTTCATTTCAGTCTTGATGGTCCAGATGGATGGCAATGCTATTGGCACTACCTGGACCTTGAGCCTGAATTCTTAGCCAAGCGGCAATCTGGTGTTGGTTCGGTCATGTTTTGGGGGGCGATCAGCCGCAAGGGAAAATCAAACTCTAGCTATTTTACGTAGAAGACAAGATTCAAGGGCATACAAGCGCAAGCTATTTCACCATCTTCTCCCTTTTTCCGATGAGAAACATGAGGGATCACATGTTTTACATCAAGACAAGGCTTCGATTCACACTGCAAGTCAACAAAGAAGTGGTTCCAAGAGTAGAATATTACCCTGTTGCCTTGGCTAGTGCTTAGTTCAGACCTCAACCACATTGAAAACCTGTGGGGCATCATGGCGAGAGATGTTCACCAAAATGAGCGCCAGTTCCAATATGTGAATGACCTGAGCACGGCTGTCCTTCGTTCCTGGAATGAAATTTCTCAAAAGACCCTGGATTATTGCATAAATCGCATGGGGAAAAGATTCATTGAGTTAATTGAGGCGAACGGAATTAATATTGCCTACTACAATGAGTGTATGGGATCCAAAAACGGAAAAACCTATTTTGGTCTTATAACCGTTTCCACCTAAGTTTTTCTAATTTTCATCATTTATTCTCATACATTTTGAAAAAAAAATTGTAACAACGTTGTAACCGTTTTTAAACGTTGTTTAGCCTCGTATAATTGGAATCCAGTATTTGAAGTGCAAGAAAAAATATACAGAAAAGACCGAGTGGTCGTATAGCCATTTCCGCCACAGTAGACTCGAATTATTAGGTACACGAGATTTACTTTTCACTTATACTAGAGTTCTTAGTACCGCCCAAACCTGCCTACGAAGTCTATTATATCGGGTAACATAGAGTTAACTCGTGCTTGGTATTGAGGTTTCATTTAATCCGTATAATTGAAATAGTTTTGTAATAGATAGCAAGAAACATCGTGAAAGAAACTAATTGAATAATTATTAATTATTTCGCAGCCATGATTATAGTCTTGGGAGTTATGGCATCGTTCCGCAGTTGCCGCTGGAATGCGACCCAACAAATTAAATAAAGTTAGGACTTTTCAGTTGTTTCAGGTAAAATTTTACAACGAATTCTTTCTGAATTCTAAATGAAAACTTGCATCAAAATAATAATGGGTTTTCTTTTCTATTTAATAAAAATGCCTCATACTAAGTGCCTATTAGTATAATTAAATGAAATCTCAATTAATGACTTATTATTTGTATAATGTTTAGGCTATCTGAAATATTATCTCCAATCCCCAAAAAATTATCAGAAACATGATTTTTTTCCTTCATTTTCATCACCTAATCTACCATCTGAATCTAATTCTAAAGGAGACATGAACATTAAAACACAATAAAATTTTTCGAGATCGCCAACCTGATGACACGAACTTGTTTAACTTTAACAAATATTTTCCAGTAGCTGGAAGAATTAATGCTTCACTGCACTCTTAATATTGCATGTTTTTTCCTTATGTTAACTATTCCACGCATATACTGGTCAATACGAGTTTATTTAAGACCTGTTTCTTTAGTTATGTTGATCTTTTGTTTTTATTTTTTTTACTTGAAAACTGAAACGATATTGTTCTTCACCTATTTTATTTTCCAAGAAAGTTTGATAATTTTACATATCACAAATATTAAATACATGATATGTGTGTGTTGATCTGCGATTATATTTTCTCAGCCATCACATGTTTGATTGTATGCTCCATATATTTCCAAGACTCCGAGTGCAAAGCACCAAGTCGAATGAATTTCCGAATGCATAATTTTCCACATTACCAGACGGCAACTCCATAGTAACTTCCGAATCATCAGTCGTGTCTACGTGGCACAGCCATTGTCAGCAATCCAAGCTAGCCACACTTAGCAACACCTAGCCACAGTTAGTTAGCTAAGTAACCTCAGTTATAATTAATAGATTCACCACAAAAGCTGTCATCGATTGTTGCAGGTGGCGCTGCAGTTGTAGTCTTAGTAACAGAAGAGGTTATATTTTTCCGACTCTGAACCTTAAGCTGCAAATATGATCGTCAAGACAGGTAAGTTAGCTATCCATGAACAGACGTTATCGGTGTTGCACGATTCACAAAAAATCCTTCGTAAGTTGAAAATGGAACTGTATTTTCTGTTGTAAAGTTCTGCACTGCCGCACAGTGCTGGGCAGCGATGAAGGCCACAATGGATCTGAATCGATGATTTATGATTTTACCAGGATATTTGCGCAGGATAAGAGTTTTATTCATGGAATACCAATTTTCTGCTCAAAGAAAGGACAACTATTGGGTTTCCGTTATTGAAGTTGGAATTCCGGTCGAAATAAGCTCTCAACATCACTAGAACCATTCTCCACTTGAGCAAGCGTTTCTAAAAATATAATATTGTAATTAGAATAGTTAATGCATGATTTATGTAGTGAATTTCATGTTAATTTTGTTATGGTTACATTAACTTTCGTTGGGTGGAGAGTGCAGAAGGTATCATGTTAGTCTTGACTAGCTGCACTTCGTTCGTTTCCTGCATTCTGCACACGTACGCAACTTCTGCACACTACAGATCCTCGCAAATCAGAGGAGATGGTAATACTTCCACTTTATTGCATACCTCTTCACGATGTAATTCCTTTAGTTCTTACTTTGGAATGTACGTGTGGCACTAGATTACAAAACTATTAATAAATAATTTCATGTTCAGTAAATTTGTTCGTATTTTAGAACTAAAAAATTGTGCAACTATAATCAGTTTACTTCATTTATGTAGCATTTTCATATTTTAATTTTTAAAAACTATACCATCACTTAGGAAGTCTTACTTCCGCAATTCAGTTACCTTAGCCCATCTCCTAGCTTTTCCTGTAATCATGCTTTGTACGTACTGAACATACAGCACATGTACGTACCGAACGATTACACCTTTCAACAACATTGAAAATTTGTTTTAATAATTGCTGTTTGAACCTCAACATAACTTACAATTTTCCCTGAAATTCTATTAGAGCCATAATCATAAGTGATACATTTATCATATGAAGTCAAATTTTGTATAGCTAAGACAAGCTCCTAGTAATTTATAATATGTGTGAAAATTTTGTATATACAAGACACGCTCCTAGACACTGACACAAATCTTCCTGTCTAGAACACACAAAAGGAACTTCTCTAAAATCAATTGACGTAATTTAAGTACACGCACTGGGACTTACTTGGGCAGTCAATATGTCTTCCTTTGCCATACCGACTGCCATTTTGCCTGCATTAATGTCACTTCTTCAGACTCTGTCGCTGTAATTTCAACGAGGTATGCACCAAATTTACAATGACTATCACCTGTAGAATCGCAACAAAATTGCTTTACATTTTTAGTTTTTTTTCGTACATGTAAAATGTACATATTGCTGGTCGCGTTTTTCTACGTTTTTTTAAGTGAAAAGACTAAAAGACTGACAGCTTTGCTGTAATAATTGTATATATATGCTGTAAATAACATACACCTTTAATTTAAATAACGTATACACATACTATAAATGATATTCACTTTCAGTGTAAATAAACTACAGATTTACTGTAAATAAGGCTCAGCTTCGCTGTAAATCCAGCCTGTTGCTCGAACCTGACCTGAAGACTGATGTATCGGGTTTGCAAGCTTACGCAAGAGCTAATAATATGTGAAATTATTCAGCTATTTAATAACAATGCCCGTTCTTGAATTAGAAAATTCTATTTAAATATTCGAAATTAGTCGAAATTCCAGCCGAATGCAACGGTTGTTATTTGGTCTCACTGGAATGTTCCTTCATTTTAATGAAGTATTAAATAGCGCTTAGCTGTTGATCAATAATAATTAAACTTACAGAACTACCACACCTTACCCATTCCCCATAATACGCCTCCCCCACCACCCCCACGGGCATAACTCCCCTCATGGCCAGTGTCCAGAGGATGTTCAGTCTCCCCTCATGGCCTCCCCTGGACGACAGCTGGGACAGCTGGGCGACAGAATGGCTGGGACAGCTGGGCGACAGAATGGCTGGGAAAGCTGGGCGACAGAATGGCTGGGACAGCTGGCGACAGAATGGCTGGGACAGCTGGGCGACAGAATGGCTGGGACAGCTGGGCGACAGAATGGCTGGGACAGCTGGGCGGCAGAATGGCTGGGACAGCTGGGCGACAGAATGGCTGGGACAGCTGGGCGACAGAATGGCTGGGAAAGCTGGGAGACAGAATGGCTGGGACAGCTGGGCGGCAGAATGGCTGGGACAGCTGGGCGACAGAATGGCTGGGACAGCTGGGCGACAGCTAGGTACAGTACCTCTGGGGGACACCACTGGGCTAGAAGACCTGCTGGAGAACCAGTGGGCTAGGGGACTTTTGGATGACACAACTTGAATTGGGGACCTGTGACTTAAGGACAGTGAGCTTGGGAGCTAAGTGGGACATCACTGGGTTCGGGAACAGTGGGATAAACCATTGATCTTGGGACCTTTGGGGGGACATCATTGCGCTTGGGACTAATTAGTATTATCTTCCATTCATTTTAACTTTGCTCATCTCTTGTATATCTTCCATTCCTTTTAATTTTGATTATTTAATCATTCTAATGCAAGTCTCAATCGCTGTTAATACATCATACTATGACGCTTCATTATCCCACCAACGAAGTGTGCTTTTGGCCAACTGAGGACCTGGGACGGATCCCCTAAATTATTTGTAATATTCTCGAACACGAAAATCTTCCACATGAGTTGATAGGCATTATTTGGAAAAATTTCCACTGTTTGTTAATTAATACAACAATAAATCTTATACTCAAATTTCGAGTTTCCCGAAATAATAGAAATTTGAAAGAAAGAAGTAACACCCCGAACAGAAGTTGCCTCCAGACGTTCCTGTTCGCTATTAACTGGGGTCGCGCGGCTATGCTCCGGTGAGGGCATCCTAAAAATACAACGCCACTGAGGCGGCGGCTGAAGTTAGTCATTTAACAGACTGGCCTGCCCTACAGAGCACAAGGCACGAGACGATGCAAGGCAGGCTAGCCTGCCTGCAGAGCACAAGGCACGAGACGATGCAAGGCAGGCTGGCCTGCCTGCAGAGCACAAGCACGAGACGATGCAGGCCAGGCTGGCCTGCCTGCAGAGCACAAGGCACGAGACGATGCAGGCCAGGCTGGCCTGCCTGCAGAGCACAAGGCACGAGACGATGCAAGGCAGGCTGGCCTGCCTGCAGAGAGAGGGTACGATCGAGACGATGCAGACCAGACTGGCCTGCCCTGCAGAGCACAAGGCACGAGACGATGCAGACCAGACTGGCCTGCCCTGCAGAGCACAAGACACGAGACGATGCAGGGCAGGCTGGTCTGCCCTGCAGAGCACAAGACACGAGACTGAAGGCCTACTTCAAGTTCCAGTGGCAGAAGCACTAGTTAGACAATTTGTTGGCAATTAAACTCTCCTCCCAACCATCACTTCCTCTCGTGATAAGAATGGTTCCTCTTCCATAGTTGTCAGAACCTTTGCTGTGGCCAGTATTAACCCTCTACCGGCTGACATGAGTAACCGGAGCAATATTTTCACGCGCCTACTTCCCAAAAAGGATACGTTGCAATAGTGAGCGCCAAATTACTTGCACTGATGGTTGCCGCCACGCACAATTTTGAAACGTTCTCTGTTGCGTACAAACGTCCTCAGGTTGCTACACTCAATAGTTTACGTACAATTTAATTTAAAAATTATGTTCCCGGAATGTTAGATATGGCGGTAGACAGTTTATTCATAAAATCGGCAAAAACAACAGGACTAAAGTTTATATGAAAAGTTACAGGTAGCAGCAGGAATGAAGCGCTGCAGGTAACAGTAGGAATGAAGCTCTGCAGGTAGCAGCAGGAATGAAGCTGTGCAGGTAACAGTAGGAATGAATCTATGCAGGTAGCAGCAGGAAAGAAGCGCTGCAGGTAACAGTAGGAATGAAGCGCTGCCGATAACAGTAGAAATAAAGCGCTGCAGGTAACAATAGAAATGAAGCTGTGCAGGTAACAGTAGAAATGAAGCGCTGCAGGTAACAATAGAAATGAAGCGCTGCAGGTAACAGTAGGAATGAAGCGCTGCAGGTAACAGTAGGAATGAAGCGCTGCAGGTAACAGTAGGAATGAAGCGCTGCAGGTAACAGTAGGAATGAAGCGCCGCAGGTAACAGTAGGAATGAAGCTCTGCAGGTAACAGTAGGAATGAAGCGCTTCAGGTAACAGTAGGAATGAAGCGCTGCAGGTAACAGTAGGAATGAAGCGCTGCAGGTAGCAGTAGGTATGAAGCGCTGCCGGTAGCAGTAGGAATGAAGCGCTGCAGGTAACAGTAGGAATGAAGCGCAGGTGCCAGTAGGAATGAAGCGCAGGTGCCAGTAGGAATGAAGCGCAGGTGCCAGTTATAATGAAGTTAAGAGAAGCGTCACGTGTCTCCAGGATCGCAGCCGCACTGCAGAGACTGTAACAAAAAAATTCTCTCCCTAAGCTCTCATAAACGAGGATGTGACCCTGGCAGCGGTCCCTTGTATTAATAATGTGGGTCCCCAAACAAATAACAGCTCTGGAACTTCCTCATAAACTTTTATGTAGCCCAAATGCTTTGCGTCTGCCAAAGGCAACCTAAATAGATACGTCTTTTTATTTTGAAACCAATTTGCTTTATTTTCACAACCTTATTTCGTCATTTTAACAATCATAATATATAATATTCAATCATGATTTTTATTACGGGGCAGGGCGACTTATTAGCTTGATTAGAAATATGAGAGCAAATGGCCGCGGGGTTATAAGGTTGATGGCCGATACAATAGCGCTATTATAATAACACTGAGCTGCCCGTGGTGGTGAGGGGGTGAGAAGGCGTGATGGTGGTAAGACGTGGAGGAATATGGTGATGCATTATGGTGAGGAATATGGTGATGCATTATGGTGAGGAATATGGTGATGCATTATGGTGAGGAATATGGTGATGCATTATATACAGGGAGTAATATAATGATTCAGGGTCAGGTATCATGGTGAGGGATGTGATGATGCAGAGGTAAATTCTGAAGATTTTCATGTGGATGGCAACTGCGAATCGGAGGCTGTAATTGTGCCAAATGAACTCGAAAATAGTTTAAATAGAGTATTTTTATGAAATTAGATTAATAAAGGTCAATCGAAAGTAATGACTAAATTAACATTATTATTGTTAGTATTACGCTAAAAATCGGTAGTATAACCATTTAACCAATTTTCACCTCGGCCAACATTCAAGTAATCTTCTAGAAACCTGTTACATGTAAAAGCTTTATGTTATAATAACACGTGTATAATGTCAGTTGCGTTCAGCTGTACCCTGTACATCATAAGTTGTAATGGGCCAGCAGCAGTTACTGTGACAGTACACGAGCGACTTTATATACAGCAGCAGCTACAGGCTGCGGCTGTATCGACCACACAGCTGATGTGCTTATCGCTGTCTTATAATGACTGCCACACAGCATGACTGCCACACAGCATTACTGCCACACAGCATTACTGCCACACAGCATGACTGCCACACAGCATGACTGCCACACAGCATGACTGCCACACAGCATGACTGCCACACAGCATGACTGCCACACAGCATAAATCAATCGTCAGCTATGGAAAGATCGGGTTCCAGAGGCCGGATCCCTTGTGAATCAAGTCACGAAAAGTTCAAGAATCGGCAACAGGCCATGGGCCTATTTTTTCAACGCCGACACTTCTATAATAGCACTAACTTCTAATTTCAAATCGATGCCTCCTCTCCACTTTTCAATGGTACAAAATTCCGTTAGTGATTATGAAATTTTCCAATAATATATTAAAATCATTAAACATACAATCGAATCTCTACACGGTAAAAATTACAAATATACTCCCTAGTCCCTAGCAGCACTGTCAGCACGTATATATATTTCTAGAGCCAGGCGTCTAACACACGAACTTTGATAAATAAATAGAAAATTTTTAGTGGTAGGTTTCCGACACTTCAATGAACACACAAAATACCTTCACAACTATACAATAACCTATAAGCTACAAAACTATGTTAATCTCGTGTCTACAATAGTCGGCTGAATTAGTGTCTGCTGAATTTGTTTTCTATGCCTGAATTTTCTATTCGTCTTTTTTTTACGGGAACTACAACATTCTGATCTCTCCTAAGTCCACTCATTCCACTCGAAACATTCTAATGTCGTAACTCGTACGCGAGAGCAGCATCGATTATTGACGTACAAATGTAAGGCCATGCCATGTCGATCCCATTAGCTTATGATCATTTATTTTCTGTGCCTTTCATGGAGTGCAAGTGGCGAGTGTCTGCTACTGGAATGAGTGGGAGCAATGGATAATTCAGAGTGGAGCAATACTCATGCCACTACAGAGTGGGGCAATACTCCTGCCACTACAGAGTGGGGCAATACTCATGCCACTACAGAGTGGGGCAATACTCATGCCACTACAGAGTGGGCAATACTCATGCCACTACAGAGTGTGGCAATACTCATGCCACTACAGATTGGGGCAATACTCATGCCACTACAGAGTGGGCAATACTCATACCACTACAGAGTGGGGCAATACTCATGCCACTACAGAGTGGGCAATACTCATGCCACTAAAGAGTGGGGCAATACTCACGCTAACTATAATATTCGCTACCATCCAATAAGTGTATCAATAATTCAAACAAAATGATTTTGGTTGAGTCGCTCTATAACATCCTGTAGCGAGATAACAACATACAAAATCATATAAACTGTAGGGTTATAAATCAGATTTCAGTTTTTCAGAATAATTTCATATTTTATAGTAAAACTATTAAAAATTTTTAGCTGAATCTAAATTTCATGGATCAACTGTAAATACGTCCATTCTCCACCCTGTATACATTCCGAAGTTATTTAATCAATGTGAAATTGTGCACAAACAAACATGTAGTGTTTACTCTAGCCAGTCAGGTTGGCATAGATCGTTTGGCTGAAAAAGGCCGCATCAGTTAATCAAAGCGAAAGTATAAAAAATTAAACTCAATAAATGAATTTAACACAAGGTAATAAACGAAAAACTCGTTTATTTACTTGTGCCTACCTATAACTGCTATATAACCTATATAACCTATAACTGCTCTCCTGAAACTCAATGACACACTTATTAGCAATATATTTTTATTTTTGAATAATATCAAAATCAATTTTGCGATACGTCACTGGATGGAATCGTCAGTTTTAGATAAGGTTAAATGTTTATTTGCCTACTTTTTAATTGCCTGTTTCTTATCGCTCCTGCGATGTGTGATTCATGCTAATAAAGGCATGCCTATCCTGAATGCCGTCTATTAATGTCACATTCCTTATCGCTATCGTCCAGCCGGCTAATATTTAACAATGATAAATAAATTAATATTAATACTGTCAGAAATATCAATTATTCAGTGCACTGTACATATGATCTAACACCTCGATTTTTTATTTCGTTATTAATGTATATATTAATTTATGTTATTACTCATCCGTGAGTGCTTTGCATGAGTCACTAGAGCGTGCATGTCACTCACAATTAATATATTTTTCCTCCTCTTCCTCAATTTCCGTGATTATTAATAATTAAATACGTGTTGTTGGGAATAGCTTTATTCATGAGGCCACTAGTATCATAGTTTCTTACACTCGCGCGGAGAATTTCTTAGTGATGATACAAATCAAGCTGCTTGATCTTGCACCTTTGTCATGTTATCTATTCCCTAATTGTAGAAATATGTTGTCGAAATATAGAATTTTGTACATATTATATAGTTTACGTTCTATATTGTGTATATGAGAATATGCGCTGTGCCACTACCCACTAGTTGCGACGTGCACCAAAAATTCCTTCACATTTAATGAAACATTCAATCCAAAAAATGCCAGCAAATGAACGAGGACATCTACTACATTATTGTTGTTATTTCCATCCCTCAGAATCAGAACTATCAAAAGTTTACAATATATTTATCTAACAATTATTGTTCTCGCAATGAATTTGAGTAATAAATCTAAGCTAGAGCCCTCATGTTTTGCTATGAGTTGGGCTAACAATAAGTTAAAATATATAACATAAAACATACCCAAACTTCATTGCTCATTCACGAATATTCAAGTTGCGAAACGAGTAACGTTTTTATATACATAATTGCAATTAGAGTAATCATAGAAATAAGTATCATATTCTCTATAGTACTGATATTGACCAGCCTAGTATCGTTTTATTGTTGAATCGTTCAGTTAAGATGGAAGAAGAAGTAATAGCGTGTTTTGTTAACAGGCGGCGCAAGGAAGATGTTCAACAAGAACAAATGCTGCTGGTGCCTCGAGCGTCGCAAGAGCGCCTACCTCGTGGCAATCTTATCCTTGGTGAGACTTGATGGCAGCGCAGGGCTGCTTGATGGCGGCTGCAGAGCTGCTTGATGGCGGCTGCAGGGCTGCTTGATGGCGGCTGCAGAGCTGCTTGATGGTGGCTGCTGGGCTGCTTGATGGCGGCTGCAGGGCTGCTTGATGGCGGCTGCAGGGCTGCTTGATGGCTGCTGCAGGGCTGCTTGATGGCTGCTGCAGGGCTGCTTGATGGCGGCTGCAGGGCTGCTTGATAGCTTCAACAGTATTTTTCGTTGCCGTCGCAGTGATCCTTGATGGCGTCAGAAGCTTAAATTTCTGATGTCAGCAGGACTTCTTGATTGAGTCCCCACCGCATCTTTGGAGAGCAAGGCTGTTTAATGAATATATCAGTTTTGAATAAATGCGCCTTATTTTCTTCAGAAGCGCCCAGCATTCTAACTGTCGTCAGAAGCTCATGACTGAGCACTCGCATGTTGGAAATTAGGACAGCGGGTGCAAAGTATTATTCATATAACAGCCCTTGAATTGCTTCAAGGGCTGTTCATAGGAACTTTTCGGCTTCAACTTGCCGTTATTAAGTGCGGCGTAAGTTGTGCTCTTGCTCATACTCTATAGCCCATTCTGAAGTGCTGCTGCACCTCACGTTTTACTTCCTCATTTCTGCACCAGCTCCATCACCAATAATTAGAGATCATTCATTGAATATCATTCATTACATATCGGTTATAGTCATCCATATATTACCAGTCATTCATTACCAGGCATACATTACCAGTCATACATTATCAGTCATACATTACCAGTCATACATTACCAGTCATACATTATCAGTCATACATTACCAGTCATACATTACCAGTCATACACTACCAGTCATACATTCTTAGTCATACATTACAAGTTATGCATTACCAATCTTGTTACAATTTATTGATTACTAACAATTCATCATAAATAACTCATTACCCTTCAACTATTTTCAAGGCCTCATCACTAATCATCCACTACCAACAATATATCAACAAACAGCCACTACCATCAATGCATCAAAAACCAATCACTACCAACAATACATCACCAATCATCCACAACCAACAATACACCACCAATCATCCACTACCAACTATATACTGTATCAACAATCAACCATCACCAACAATACATCACCAATCACGCTTAACCAATCACTCGTGTCACCTACACAGTTCATATTATGATATTATTATAGCGGCAAGATTATATTATTACATGTAAGAATTTAGCGCAACATGGCCGGTCTGTCTTTTCAATAACTTGTTTCCTTTCATTACTCGATGCAAGTTTTCTGAACCCGCTTTTCGGCACTTAATTTCAGGTCATGCTTTAGAATAGAATAGAATAGAATAGAAGTGTCGGCGTTGAAGAAATAGGCCCATGGCCTGTTGCCGATTCTTGAACTTTTCTTGACTTGATTCACAACGGACCCGGCCTTAGGAACCCGATCTTTCCATAACTGACGATTGATTGAGATAGCTGCTGGACTTATTGCCTGGTCCGTAATTTGCTAGGCAAGCTTTATAACAATCCTCAGACATTTCTTAACGAACGCCGTTGATTATTTTTTCTGCAGCTTGTGCTGGCAGGGCAGGTCGCAAACGAGGTCTACAAATATGAGAGAAGCAACAAGGAGCGTAAGTACCGCACACCTACCGAAGATATTAATTGTTATTTGGCCATACAGGAATGCTTTCAAAGATTCTTTAAATGAGAGCATAAAAAATTAAGTTTAAATTTAGCATAAAATATAGAGTTAATTTGAATAATTTATTCATAGTTCTTGTCTCGATCATTCGATGACCATTGACATTTAATTTAATGCACATACATTCGATGGATCAGAAAAATAGTCATTCTTGGTTCAGATATTGAACGTAATACATCACTACACGGTATTTTGAGTTCTATGACCCAAGTTTTGAATTTTTATTCACTTCCATTAATCTACTACGTCGCTAAAAGCATGTTATGTGAATATGTTTCCCCCTTCGCGCCACCAATTTCCCCATAACGCTCATATAGATGCCGCAGATACAGTGGCAAATTTCGCCATAACGCTCCCTAATTACCGCAGATACTGTGGCAAATTTCGCCATAACGCTCCCCTAATTACCGCAGATACTGTGGCAAATTTCGCCATAACGCTCCCCTAATTGTCGCAGATACTGTGGCAAATTTCACGGTGACGATGCTGGGGCTGGGACTGCAGTTGTTCGTGACAGGCATGCTGCTGTGCGGCATCAACTGGGTCAGTGCACGCACCTCTGCAGCTTATGCTTTTCTTGTCATGAAATAAATCGATGATGGATGAGTTTATATTATGTATAAATGCCGATATTTTCATTAGAGTATTGAGTATTACAATGGTCTTATAGTCTTGAGTATTTTCAAGCGTAGAGACTGTTCATACGCACAGATAATTATTGCCTCTTATATACGCAATTTACAATTTATAACTTAGAATTATTTTCGAATATGATTTCCTCTACATTGAAATTATTCGCTTCCCGGTTAAAATTATGTTTTCTACAATGCATTTTCTCTCCGCATCATTATAAAAACTCTCAATTTAATGCCAAGAAACACAAATGAAACATCTTATGCGTATTAATTAAGTTAATTAACACATATTTATTATCACTTTCAGAGATCCTTAACAAAAAGTTACTTAACGTCATTTTAAAGTGCTTTTAACTATAACATTTTATTCTACCATGCTCATCAACTCATTGGTTGAAAATAGAATTCAATATAAGTGGCACGGTTTTCCACTGAAGTAGAGGAAAACTTCCAAGTCAATCGCCTTAAATTATTTTTTAAATAAACAAAAAATAACTTGAAAAATTCAAATAAAAATGCATTTTAAAAATCAGTCAATTTTTTACCCAGGACCCTGAAATATGAATACAGTTTTCTTTTAGTTTTATGTTATTTTTAGTGCTTATGTTTCAACAACATCAAGTGTTCAACGTACGTAGTGACGGTTCTTATCGCTTGTGTTAATATTTGTTGCAGCTTATCCTCATTTTATACTGCATTAAATCTCCAGCAAATCGCATCACATTATAAAGGCACTTTATCATCATTTGTTGCCTTCTAAACATGTCTTAGTCGCCAACATAATCGGAGAATAAATAGGAAAATCTTTTCGGGAGAGCCTACTGTATATGCAACAAATCGGAGTGGAGCTCCACTCTGTAATGTACCTTTTCTGATCACGGGATTCACAGCCTCCAAATGAAATAAATCAAAGCTTATGGTCATTCTATCATAATATTATGAGATTAATTTAAGATACAAATTTATTTTCATACCATAATGACATTATTGAGTGTTTGCAGAACCGTGTGGGTTTCTTCTGGCCGTACATGGTGTGGGTCTCCCTGACGATGGGACTGGCCATCTTCCAGTGCCTCGTCCTGCTGTTCGTCAAACCTGTGGACGAAATAAAATACGATATGGTCGTCACCGTCACAACCATCGTCATCCTTTACTACTTTGTCTTCGTCATACAGGAGTATGAGGACGAGGTATGGAGAGTAGGAGTAAGAAATTATAATTATTAGGAGCATTTAGTTCATTAACCTGACATTTTTCCTTATTTCCTTATGCTTCGTGATGTATGAGCTCACAAGAGGGACGACAAATTAAGTTATTATATGATTGAGAAAACCCTTTACGAAAGTACTTTCCGTTTGGTCATTGAGACAGGAGATTAAGTTTATTTACTATGAATTAAAATTATTTAAATGAATATACTCAATCAAGCCATAATAAGGAATTGAATTTCCCGAGAAATTGTGAGTGTTGCGTACGGTGTCGGCGTCCACGCAGTCTTTGAATCAAGGAGGTAAGCAAAAAAAGAAGTTAGGTCAAAAATGACGCCACCTCTGCAAGCGGTTACGGAAGAAAAAGAAATCCGTCGGTACAGGAAGGCAGGAGAAGATCTATTGGATAGATTAGTGAGGGTCTGCGGTTTCAAGACAAGCACGATTTTTGGAGCGTCACATCCCAAACATCTATCAATTAACCGGTGGTTCAACCTTAACTTAACCACTACTGAGTTAAGGGAAGATGGAAGCAACTGAACCATCGACGAGGCAACTTCGGCCTTGTGGTTTACGGTAGCGTCAGCAGTTTGGTTGTTTCACGGAGTATAATCCGCTTGGCTTTTTCGCAAGTGTCTGCTCGCCAGGTCTTCAACTGGAATAAAACCTAAAAACTGACCACCATAACACTGAATAGCTTTCTTCGTTGGTCTAGTCTGGCGTGGACCTGCAAGGAAATTCAATTGGAAAGGGAAAGATCGTTGTCGACGACACTGTCGAACTCCTTGAAGTAAGCATAAGCCCGTGGCAAACTCGTACGAAAGCGACAGAATGGAAATGCTGATCGAAAAGCTTTGTTTTGAGCCCTATTACGAGAGGATGATTTAAGGTCTTTGAACTTGAGTGAAGCACCCCAATGAAAAGACACACATGAGTGATGGAGAGGTGGGAATAGAAATAGTCAATATGTTTTCTTTCCTTGATTATGAGATCATTGCAATAACTTTCTTCAGCTGGCTTGAATAATGACGAACAATGGGCCCGGAAATAGACGGCGCCGAAAGATTATTGATTGATCGTCCTCATTTTCCAAATTGTACATGCCTCACATCCCTGCCTTATGCCTCACATCCCTGCCTCATGCCTCACATCCCTGCCTCATGCCTCACATCCCTGCCTTATGCCTCACATCCCACCTCATGCCTCACATCCCTGCCTCATGCCTCACATCCCTGCCTCATGCCTCACACCCCTGCCTCATGCCTCACAGCTGCGTAAGGAGCTGGAGCTGAGGAGGCCGTCGACGGCAGCGACGGTGGGGGGCAGCGAGGCGGGCGGGGAGGGCGGGGAACAGCTCCTGGCTGTCACTACAGAACCTACGCGTTGATGAGACGACACTACTAGTATATGTCGGGTCTGCATTGAATTATTGAGTTTTTTTAATTTCTCACGTCGTTTGATGAATTTAAATTTGGCGTTTTGAGTTCTTCGAAGTTATTTGTTTTATAATATTCAGGACTGTCATCTCTGAACGCTTGAATCTCAGCGCAATGATCTTATTGCAACCGGTTTCGGTGCTGTTTCTATTTAAGCTTCTTCGTAGGCAATAAAAATTGTTTGATTTAAAAAGAATGAGTAAACAATAGATGTATCTGAACCCTTAGTGCATAGGGGACGTAGAGCTGCAGCTTGAATATTCAAATACTGTAATGTTAAAGGTATCTGCATTTGTTTGGTTGTGCAGGTTTCCTTAGTAATTTTCCTGGTACAACTTGCATGTTCTTAACTATTATCATGAAATTTTCTGTAACACTTATTATATGTATGTGAGAAGGAGTTATCCACCAGACTGAGTTTTAATCGATTTATTGTATCAAACACAATACCGTTCTCACGAAATTACATCCATAATAATCTTATATACTTGCCTGGAGACTCGCACGACGCTAATAATATTTATTCTTGGCTACTCTACTTATCATCTAATTTCTTTAAAAATATCCCAGCATTAAGCCTCGACCACTCCAAGTCAGATGATGACTGAGCAGAGATGCGAGACGTTTAAGATACTTCAAGTACTAGTATATGTTGGCAAAATTTGTTCCTTCAAGAAGGTTTCATTGAAGACCAGAGAATTCGTTTTATTGACAATTTTCTTGTTAGTTTTTTCAATAAATCGAACAAGATTGTTCGTTTGCACGGGTAAATCGAAAATCAGATTACCGAACGACATTTAATTGTTTGATCTATTGAAAAAACTAATAAGAAAATTGTCAATAAAACGAATTCTCTGGTCTTCAACAATATACTTTAAGTCGTGCATAATTTGCTACGAACGCACGGTTGGAAAGCCTTGTTGTACGCGGAAGAGTTGGCGTACAGTTATGACTGCATTGAATTCAACATAACATTAGAAGAAGCTTCAACAGGAAATTTTGAAACGCTTCAATGGACTGACTGACTGTACAGCTGCTTCGAATGTATACTCTGCAATCGTCATTGGTTCAGGTTAACGTAAGTCAACAACAAGGAGACCGACACGACATTAAGTTCAGTGATTGTGGTTGGCGCTTATCAGAGCTGTTCTATTCACGATTCCGGTTGACAAATCCTGGTACATTTGTTATCCTCAAGCCTTTATTGTTACCATGAACACAGGATCACTGATACTTCCAGCAAAACTACCCCTTAAGTCGTCTGCGTGGAATGTAAACCCGTTATTCTGTCTCCTGCAGAGTATATGTTATTCATGCTTAATGTGTGATTAATGCAGTTAATTTGAATTTCGTGAAACCTAGGGTCCTGCCATTTATTATATTGAAAATTCATATAAATTGTATGCTTGCTTCTGGTGCATGATTTCTTAACAGTCCCGAAATTCCAAGGCAGACTGTATTCTGGGCACGATCTTTGGACTTGAAAGATACGATACCCGACAATGAATAGACTATGTTTGAACTACATGACGCCGAAAAAGAACTTAGCGCAATGTAGTTTTAAAGCTCTAAGGAACTTCATGGTTCGCATCCAATCAATGAGTTTAATCTCACTCCATTGTTTGAATTGCACCAGAAATTTAATACATAAATACATGCGTATTCAATTTCTACTAATACGCCACAAAATGCGTATACAATTTTGCTCATTGTTTTAAATTTATGAAGGTTTTCATACGAGCAGAAAATTTCAGGAAATAATGTTCTGTGTCTATTATATTACAGATACGTAATTACTTTTTTATATCGTAGGGGGCTATAGTTGGGGTTAAGCTAATAGGGTTAAACTTCAATATTAGGGGTAAAACGTTGGGGTTAAATTACAATATTTGTACCCAAAATTTTCAACTAAGATTCGTTTGAGTCTTCAAATTCTTAATTATCACAGTAAAAAATTATACTATATTGTGGACAAAATTGGAGTTTTGGCAAATTATTGTTTCAGTTTCTTCGTGATACAAATTTCCATGAACTTCAACTGCTTTTATAATAAAAAAAATGTGTCATCTGAAGGAAGCATTAAAGCTTTGATTTGAATTTCTATAAAATGTCAAAGAGCAGCAAGTGATATGATCCTGTAGAAATATTTAGATTATATTGACAACATTTATTTTGACATTTTAATTAAATTTAAATTTTATTTTTGTTGATCTCTACCATATTTTTAGAAAATAATTTTTTTCTGTCAACATGAATGAGGTAATAAGGTATTAGTATTAAGACTGTCAATGCAAGCGACTCGCAAATGTAATAATGAATAATTTAACTTCATTCATAATAATAATATAATATAATAATATTATATTATTGAATTCATAATAACTTCAGCTCGTAGCTTTATTGCCCTGCGCGATGATAACATGACTTCACTTGCCTGTATTGTGTCTAAGACAGTCTACAGAATGAGAACTTATTTGTAAAAGCTTTCTTGATGCCTTTGATAATTATTAGGTAATTCAGAAATCTTATTATCATATCTTTCTTCATATTCTTATCACGGTCGTACTTACTTAGCTACCTATAAAGAGAAGTATTATGCTAGTATGTACATTGTACAAATGTATCTAATATGTCCGTATATGTTTCGGTATCGAATTTCGATTGTACGTCAAAATGACGAGTCTATATATATCGTAATGTTTTCATAATCCATATACCAAGGAAATGAGCGTAAAAAATGTATGTACTGTACCTTCACAGTCAAAATACCGGGGCATTTCATCCTCGATTTGAGGGACAGATGTCGATGCACCATTCCATCTATAAACATTGAGTCCTGTCCAAGTATTACGCTAGATATCTGTAACCGAAAAGTGGTCATGTTTCACGTGGCGGCCTTTTCTAAAGTCGCTTGTCGCGACGACACCGCGCGAAATAACTTAAATTTTGACTGTGCAATAACTTTATTCTCGACTGGTGCATTTTATCAGCAATAATAATATCTGTAAATAGATTAACGTAAAATAATCTTCATACATACATCACTTCTGCGTACTTCTTCACTCGCTTTTTGACTGCTAAAGGTCTCAGAAGTTCCATTGAATTACAAATCAATATTTGAGTGTTCATGTTTGACTTAGGTTATTTGCATGTCTTGCTCTCACACTCGAGTGAGAAGAAACCTCGAGCTGGAAATCCGCTTATTCACTACCAAAAGTGAACTCGGAAAAATAATTTCAAAAGGTATTAAAAAAAAGCTCAGCTAATTTATGCACATTCAATTTGAAATCACTGGATACTTTTACTGTGTTAGCTGGGTTTTATTTCATTTTAAGGGTTCTGTAAAATCAGGTCGGCCCGGGCATATCACCCGCTCCACGCTCGTAATCGTCCATAACTCTCCCTTAAATCGCCGGTGAAACTTCTTGGAGTTTTGACTGAGTTGCGTCACTTCTCCTGGAACGCATTTTCATGAACAAATTTTTTGCTGCAAGCAAGTGGCAAAGTACTGTACTTTACTGTACTTAAACTCAGTGAGAGAGATCGGCAAAATTCGTCATTAATTATTAGATTATGAGACTTTATTCATTACAATCAATACAAGGTTGCTACGGTAGTCATCATTTACTTTCGATATCCAACAATGTCATTCCAGTAGATATGTTTAACTTAGGAAGATCATGAATGGTACAACCCATTGTTTATAGATGACAAAATATTTTGGCTGAACTAATTTAGCTCTTTATCGAAGAGTATTTTCATGTACTCTATTAATAAATATAGAATTTTTGTGCACGTCGTGAAGCACAGATTTAATCGCGCACCTAATTAAATGGTAATTTATTCCATTTTCATATTTATTTCTTGCGTTTTGATGTATAGGTTAATGCATGTATTAAGAGCTGTGAGAGAAACATGAGGCAGCTCACTGAACTGTTCACATTTTTATCCATCGTTCATATTGCAAGTGCTTGAAGACAGCGAATTGTAAAATAGGCTAATTGTAATAAAGAGGCTCTTGGTATGAAGCGGAAAATTCTACATTAAATGTTGGGTTATGATTTTATAATGAAATTATGCCCATATGAGTAGATACCTAATCATTTAGTTGCTGGTGAGCTGAGCAACACATGGCCAATTAATTCATAATTATATAGCTGTCGGGCTTCGCTTGATTCTTGTGATGTATTTCGATTATATTATGTTCACGGTAAAGAATGTGAACCTATTATTAACATTATCCTTAAAATGGCTGTTCACGTCACCTATGTGATGATAATCCCGCTGTTGAAACCTTTCAAACATTTTTGTCGGATGTTCAACCAATGTTGTGGGATACAAAGTTTCGAAAAATTCATTTTATTCAAACGATCAAGCCTAAATTAGGTATATGCATCAATCACATGTTGATCATATGTTGAATTACAAGAAGCGGAAAATTTCTGAACTTCGCAAAGTTCGTTCAAATTCACATCACGCACTTGTGTTGCTTAGCCGTGCTGAAAGCCAGTTGAGGGCCTGCATTACTTAATACCATTAATTGTAAGAGAATTATATATCAGTATTTTGATAGTCGCAAAAAAAATTTATGCGTGCTAAGGGCGTTCACCAAATGCCGCATAATCTTGTTGTGGTTCTCTACTTCAATTGAACTTTAATAGCTTATTCGTAATGTCATAGCGGCCAAACCCTAAAGTGTTTAAACTGCTTTCATCAAATAGTTTGCCATTTCTGGTGTTTCATGTCACCTACATAGCAGTATGTAGTATTTTGCCGTCATATGCCTACGAGTAAAAGAAATCGAATGAACATTAGTCGAACCGCTTGCTGTCCGTTATTGCCTTACTTAATAATACGCTTGTAGCATATGGTAGCTTAATGCTTCACTATTAAATTTGACTATTCCATAAATAATTGAATTAGTTGAACTCAGCCGCATAACTTTAGATGCGAGCGAAACTAGCCAATTGAAAAGAAGCAATATTCCTTTGTGATGCTGTCACTTGAGGTTGATCGTATAAGGGCTAAAGTCGTCATTGGTGATTATGGCGCTTCCCTCAAGCTGATCTTTAATAATTTGCATAAAATATAGGAAAAGAAGGTTTATAAATCCACCAAGCTCATGATCGAACTTTTATATCTAATTCTCAGCATGGAATATTTTCCAGCATATATTCAAAGTAATAATTAGTTTCTCTGTTGAGGAATAATTTTTTAGCCCACTCTAAATGTAATTTACTTCGAAAGCATTTATTTAATTACTAAATAAGAATTAGGACCTTCGTCCCAAAAATAATTTTTGACTACATTTCCTACTGTTTTCGGGCAAAAGTGAGCCAATTGCAAATTTTTTTTCTCGCCGGAAATTTTTGGACACGAATTACAATGGAAAGTTTAACTAATAAGTGGCCCTGCTTAAACAACAAGTTACTAAAACCTCGATTATCGAAACTTTAAGTCTAGATGAGACGATTAAGATTGTCGATTTTTCACTCTTATAATATGAGCAAAAGTTTGTTTAGTTCTTGCAGGCAACTGAGCGAATGTTCCTTAGTCGCATCAGCTTTAATTCGCACAGAGCCTGCAATTGGAACAAACTTGTTGAAACATTTTCCTGGGGCTGATAAAAACAAACAACTTCAATACGTTACACCCTTACATTAATGTGTGATGGATAAATTCTGTCTTAATTACTTTAGAGAGGAATGCACATTTTAATAATTACATTTTAAAGATTTTCTTCGTGAGCTTATCTATATCATAAAACTTGTTGAACGTTGGGAAACGTTTGCCATAACACTTTGTCTTTGCATCTGTTGACACGCACGGATTTGTAGCTAGCATTTTGGATTCATGCTCTATTTATGAGCCGGAATTTTCATATGTAATTTTACGATCCTGATGTCGCACATACTAACGTAATGACTTCGATAAAGGCAACGGGCAGATATTATTAATTCTTGTGTTGCCGGTCATAAGCAGCAGAGGCGACAAGTGATCTTCATAAAACTCACTGTCGCACTGTCATCGTATTGAACGACATCAAACTTTCAGTTTTGTGATGTCAAAGAAGGGTGGCACATCTGTCTTAGTTTTCGGAACAATGTTTTCAATTCAATTCAGCCTGAATAATTCCTTTTAGTGCTATTGACAGTATTATTTCAGGCAAACAAATGAACATTTACTGCTGCTAGTATATTTTAGAATTTCCTTCTGAACTGACTTGAAAAATTCTATTTATGCATTACAAATTCAATGACATTACGAATTGACATTGCAATTCTATCCTTTGCAATCGTGCAACTGAAGTGATATATAATCAAATACTGGATATTAGTCTTTTAAATTTGCATATCACCTTATTTATTAATGCTATTTTCTCTTACTTATAATAAGGAATTATTCTTCTGCAATAATAAAATGAATTTGATGCTCATTATGTTTCTCATTTTTCCTTACGAAATAATGAAGTAAAATAATGACATTATCAATGCTCGACGCTCCCTTCATTTAGTTCAGGCCAATACAAACTAAAAAATCAAATTTCATGTAATAATTCTTTCTATGTTTATTAAAAGAAGGCTTCGGCGAGGTGCAGTTTTCTTGCCTTCCTCTAAAGGACCACTTGACCGGAGCTTGAGTGAAGATAACGGCAACTGAGGTGAGACCTGACTTCACAACGCTCACTATTTTCTCGCATCAAATGTGAGCTGCATAGCAATCACCATTGCTCAGTCCAAATGTAACACATGGTTTGTATCAGCTCCCCGAAATAAATCGACATCTATTAATTATAATTGTTAGTATTTTTGTGCATACCCTTCATCTCTCTAACGTATGAACTAGCGAGTCCGTTCTTATAATAAACGCTCATCATCATATGAAACGATTACAAATAACATAAAAGACATGCACTCTAAACGGTGTGGAATCAAATAATTTCAATTTAAAAAACTGCATAAAATATCGCTAAATGTTACTCTTGACTTACTTTGCTTAATTCTACAGTTTTTGAGCTCTCAAATGAAGTTCGGGCAAATTCGAACAGATTGCTGTCGACAAGCTCCATAAGTAGTAATGCGATTGTTAACCTTAACATGAATGAGGCTGGATTTTAGTTCTTGATGAATGAAGGATTTAAAATCTTATCCCCTGATTCGTGGACTCAAAAATGTCCAATTCGATCTAAAATAATATTTTATTAGATATTTTCGACTGTGGATAACCTTCACGAACGTCTTTCTGGAATGTTATAGAGTCATCCTCAGATGAACCAAGAATATTCTTGATCAACAAGGATGAGTTAAATTGATTTTATGTAAAGGTTGCCATTAATTTTGCACGCGGAAAATAACAATCAATGTACAAAATAAGATATACCTGAAAATATTAAATGAATAATATATTTTTAAGGTAAGAAATTAGTTTACACGATTACAGGCTAGCATTTTAATACAAGCACACTAATATTTCATCAGTATCTTGGACATAGGTGCAATATTTAAATTTAGAGTTGAAAGTTGCCAATAAATATGCGCGTAACTGTAGGTACTGTAAACTGGCTGAGTTAAGTTCTGTTAAATCCGGTTAAAATATCCAGGATTGCGTCATTTCTTCTTGACGCGACAGGCCGATCGCCATATTTGCCACAGTTCAACGTACGCGCGTGATTGGTCTGTAGCAATCAAAAAGAGGCTCCATACGACTATCAATGAAGTGGCTATTAATTATGATTACTGGCAATACTGTTCAGAGTTACTTTTCCCAGCCATAGACATTTCCACCATTAAACCACAACACTTCAAAGGAAATTTTGTCAATGAATTCTGCTTATTATATTTTATTAGAGGCTAATTCGATAGTAAGTAACTGAATATTCTCAGGTGTATTTGCATAAATTTGAAACATCAAACACTTAAATTAAGTTACCTCAAACAAAAGCCAAACGTAAAGTAACAGTTGTAAGCGATTTCGACCTGTTGGAGTGATACTAAATTGTTATAGCTTGTCACATAACTATATATAACTTCCATAGCAAAATATATTCTCTTATAATATCTATCGTGGCAAATCGACTGTTTCAGCGACTAAGATGCCCTGATTTCCATTCCTTTAAGCCATCGAAATTTTTAATTCGATATTATTCTCTATTAGATTTTAGATACAGATCCGATATTAGATGAAGGATATTATCGGATATCTAATCTAAGAATATTATCGGATTCATCTAAGGATATTATCGGATTAATCTAATATCCTGCAACGTATATTAGATAAAGGATCCTATCTCATGGCGGTGCAGGAGCGGCTCGAACTCCGGCGTGATCTCCTCGACGAGGTTCCTGAGAGCCTTGACTCCTACGGTCCAGTAGAGCAGTAGCAGCCGTAGCAGCGCCGTCAACTTGCGCCCCACCGACCGTGTCACTAATAGCCTGCGAGGTAGCAGCGGGTTATTCATATTATTAAATTTTTACTTCGTACTAACTTATTTAGTTCATTGGTATAAGCAGAATTCAATAAAAAATTGTTCCTACCTAATTAAACAATTATGTTGTTAGGGCATACAAGAAAAAAATTCTAGAATTTAGAAATAACGATAAAAAGAATATAAATAATTTACAAATCTATTATTTATTTGTGAAAATTTGAGGATAGAAAATCTCTAATGAACTATGCAGTGGCTCCCAAACTTTTGCTAACTGAGTACCACTATGAGGTCACATTTAGAATCGGTTGAAATATAGCTTATTTGATGCGACAACGCATTTTACAATAAGTAGGTGCGTCGGTTAACTGTGAGCTGCTGGCACCACATGAATGACGTGAGGCAATAGTTGCAAACCGTTTCCAGATGATACTGGGTTACTCCCGTAAAAATTTTTTGGAAGTATAAGATTACTAAACAAGAGTAGTTCATGTCCCTGAAAATGCTCGCGTACCAAATATATGAGTCTCCCTCTTGCCACTAGTGATACGAGTACCACAGTCGAGAACCACACCATGCACCGTACCTAACAAGTAACATTAAAACATACAGTAGCTGAGCCTAAACTTTTATTTCTAATTATCAAATTTTACGACATTGGGATTGAAACGGGAGGGTTGGAGGGGTCTTCAACCCTCTCGTTGAACACCACTTCAATTAGTTTCATTCAAATTTCATGCATTTGATAATTATCAATAAGATTCTCGAATCTCAGGGATTCTCTTTCCTGACTTTCTGACTTTCGGTATGAAGCGAATTAGGATGACCGCTTCACGTTGCAAGATGGAATGCACGATATGATTTAGGTTGATTTGATTCAGCAGAGCGGTATTTGTTATATTTGTATTTGTGATGACATTATGATAATTATGTCTGTATATCCGACAAATCTCGGATATACATAAGTTAACGCGGGTTTAACAGCTAATATTATAATTAATCTATTAATAAAATATAGTAATACTTTCTTGTGTGCATGGCAATAGTATAGTAATATATATTGAAAGGAAGTTCTTTCCCAAAAAGAAAAAAATTCGTTCCCTGATCTCAATCTGTAGCTGCATGTAGGTGAAAATGACGCGGCTAACAGCCTAACGCATCAAACCGTACGTATGTGCGGGCTTTAGTTTGTGCGTGAGACAGTTACAGACAATGAGTATTTTCTCATAATTTGTACAAAGTTTTCTTTTTAAAATTTGTATTAATAGATCATTATTAACGTTAAACTATATAGACAACAATAAATCATGCGGCACATTGTGGTACCTCAAAACAAGTAATAGGTGATGGGGTAGCCGGAGATCAATTACCAAGCAACTTTAAAGCCTCTACTGCTTTTGAACCCATTTCAGTTACTTGCCCCTTCTGAACAATTAATTATAATTCTAATTTACGCAATCTAAACAATTATTTTCTCCTTTAATTCTATAGCTACAACATTGGAAGATATATCAATTTGCCATGCAAATACCTAGCGACTATAGAAGCCCTTATCTGATTTATTTGTTGTTTATATTAAATACTGTATACACTAAGAAAAATTGTGAGGATGGGGAAATAAAGTAGAAAAGTCCCCTGAAAAAGATAGAAGTGAAATTGGAAAAAGAGGCTTATAGAGTCGCTAGATATTTACATTACGAATAGAATGACATATCTCTTGATTTTGAAGGCCGTAAATGAAAAGAGGAGATGTATTTTCATAACTCTGTTATGAAAATACTGTTTCTGTTTTCTTTGCATTTCACGTTTTCCTCCATTTTCTCGAAAAGTTCATACGGACAATATGTGATTGTATTAGTGTTTTACAGATGTGTATGAAGTTTCTCAAAGATCGGTCACTTTAATAAACATGTTTTTTGGAGATTAAACCCTCCCCTTAATGAGTTCCAATATATGATATTGGTGCATAAATAGTAAGAGACAGACAGCGATGAAAGACCCAGCAATGGTGGTGGCTACTACATCTGGCAGTGGCCACTCGCTAGTCAAGTTCGGCTCTGCCTCACAATAGACGAACAAATTTTGGCAGCATACGCAAAAGAATTGCGAGACAAGTTTACATGAATTTCACAAATCGATCTTATACAAAAGGAAATAGATGGATTTATTTTTCACCTGGCCCGAGTGCTAGCAAGTTGTTGCTGCTTGTCACGGCTGCGGTGCGGCAGCCACCGCGGGCTGTCGTACGTGAAGAGCACAGCGCACCGACACACCGGGCATCTCCTGTGGCGGGGGCAGCAGACGATTACACGCAATTATCGATAAAAAATACGTGAAATATACTTTTTGTGACCAGAAAAAACTTCACCATTACGCTATAGGAACGGGCATGGTGAAAAATCAAAAACGCTATATAAATGCCATAAACAAGAGAATAACTGAATGCCGCCAGTCGCGAATAACGTGAGTGGAAAGGGCATGCGGAAACTCACTAGAAAATTTCATCAATATTATCAATCCGAATATCTGCAGAGAAAGAATGCATGAAGTGTTTGGAGTGCCATTTAAAATAGTTTTTTCACTGGTAAATTGTGAGTTGATGACCAATCTTAAATAATGACAACATTTGCTTAGTCAAATAGCATCATTTGAAGGAAAATCAAACAACAAAATTAAAACAGCATCATAGCAATAACACCAAGCTCTGACTTACCTTAACATTTCAATAAATACATATTAATTGTGGTTTCATCGGGAATTTCAAATTCATAGATTCCGTCATTATGACAATAATTTTCAACTTCAGAATACAATTAGAGAGTATTTTGAATGAATTTTAAATTTTTTTAGAATCTCTCATAATCTTATCCTGGCATTGTCAACACACCATTCAACTACAACACACCATTCATCAATAAATCGCTGACTCACCATCTGTCTATAGCAGATTGCTGCAGCCACGATGCGATGCAAGTCTTACAGAAGCTGTGTTGACAATCCGACAGTACGCCATAATACTTAAAGGTGACGTCATCATCCTGCTCACCGTGTTTACGGAAACAAACGAAACAATCGGGGTCAATGAGTTCATTAGAAATCGCAGCAACACCAGACTCGGTCTCTTCTTGCTGCTCCACTTGGAAACCGGCTCGAGAGGCTTGAGTTTCGTCTGTCTCGTTGGTTCTTAAGTTGTGCTGGGTCAAGTTTTGATTTTTATCCCGACTTCTGCGTTTCAATTCCACGTGTGTTTCTTTTCTTACTGAGTCATGATAATCCGAAAATTCTTCGTCAGTGAGTTCGATTCTACGCAAGATACAGATACAACATTTGTTTGGTATTGGGTTCAAGCCTTCGTTAATTGTGGACGGTACAGTGAAATTATGATCAACAGCTGAAACATGGTGTCTGAAATGATCAGCACACTCTTCACAGAGATCGCTTGTAGAATCATCACCAAGCGCTTGATTACAGCGTGGATCTAAGAGTGAATTAAGCTGATGAAGACTACAAGACACCGGGTGATTTTCATCCTTGATATTATCGTTAATTAAATCTGCTTGCTTAATCATGCATGAATCACGATTTGACGGTCCCGGTTCTTCACTTCCAATTTCTTGAGAGCCAGAAACTTTCATAAAATTATTGACAAACAAGCCTGCATTGCAGGTTTGGCTTCGGTTCGAAGAGGCGTCAGATGTTCGAAGATGTACGTTAAAACTCTCAGATGAGGATCGATGATATTTGAAATCTTGGTCTTCGCATTCTAAAGTCTCGCATTCGTGGTCGAGATCTAAATAAGTGTCCTGGTTCCATGTATCGTCCAGACCAAACACCACGCAATTAAAAGGGTTTCGTCCCGCAAGACGCTCTAGCATCTGAAAACATTGATGCATTTTATGATCAGAAAATTGTAAAACTCATTCACTACAAAAATATTTCTTCATTTGCCTGATTGCATTTGCTCTAAGTCGTGCTCTCGAAAATGATCTATACTCTTGAATTTCCTTTCATTGTCTTTTAACGATAATTTCGTACATTCATATTTTGAAAAGAGGCATGTAATGAATGACTTGGCACTAATATGCTGGAAAAATTCGGAGCTCTCTCTGAATTGATGTGGAAGAATATTCAATTGAACGAGATTCAATTAGTAAATTGTCCTTCCTACAGCTCAATGTAAGTAATCTTACCTGCAGGGAAGCGATGATGGTTTCCTTCAGCGGAATCATCTTGGCGAGGCCAAAAAACTGCGGAACTTTTTTGTCCTAGATTGCTGAAAAAACAAACGTTATTGTACCGAATTTACTAGTTAATTATCATTCTTCAAGCGAGCACAAAATTTTTCAAATGCTGGAACCTACTTTATGCTTTACCTACTTTAGATCAGGAAAAAAATTTTGGTTTAAATAAAGATTAGAGTATCACAAGGTATTGTTATTATTTTTCTTGCAAAAAAATTAGTTTAGCGCTACTTCCTCCAGCCGCGCCCGTAAACTCTCGCGATTCTCAGTCCCGCATAAATGATTGAATAATTAAAAGTAGAATTTGGGCGAGACGGTTTTCCAGTTGCTTTATTTGATTATTTCGACGGTACAACCAGCCAACACAGCCGCCACTCATAATCAATAATAATTCCATTGCTTCTTGGAGCCCCTCAACGACGGGGAAAAACAGCAACAAAAATAGCAAGATGACTTCATGAATCCCTGACTAGTCCGGGCCCTGCTCCCTAGGAAAGTTCATATGAACCATTTATGTATTAAAATATTCTTAAACCTAGTCGTTCAGGAGTTGTCTTATGGCTGGGCGGATGTCCTACACAAATACAATTTTGGGGAACATAGCGCTTTGATTTTTAGGAAAAATATCTGAAGCAGCAAGAAGCGGCAGCTTTTTCCCTAAACTTAAAAAATAATTTTAAAATAAATTGGGATCGCTCGTCATTCCGCGCAATAGCGTAAATATTTGCTTGGATGCGTACCTACACAGAGACGCGTGCTCCTCGGTAATCAATTGCATATTTTATTATTACCATTTAATTAGGACCGTGGCCAATTAATATGAAGTACTTATGAATATCAACGAATAAATCGTGCTGGCTAATTTGCTTCAAAATTGTTCATCATGGTGAGTAACAGTGAAATTAGAAACAATGCTTGCCCGTGTAATTGAAATGGTAAATGAGTTCCATTGATAAGGCATTATTCCCAATAGAAGTAAACTTTTCACTCAGTAACTATACTTGCGTTGATTATGTAATGCAATGGTATATAGATGACACAGTGTGTAGCTGAAATGCTGGTCATCAAACGGCTGATAAATGTCAGGAGAGACACAATTGTCGATGTGAATCGATGCAAAACATGATTTTCTCTGGAGGCCACACGAGGTGCACAATGTGTAATAACTAAGCGTTCCAGTCATGCATTTCTTTTGCTTTCAGTCAATAAAAACATTATGGAGAGAATAATAACTCATCTCACATAAAAAGAAAATATCCTGTCATCAGTATAAATACTCATCATACATTAAACGAAAATTCATTTTTTTTATCCAGACCTCTCGAGAATCAAGCAAATCAGTACAATAATACCTGCAGTAAGTCCACTCGCAATTCACTTCTTTGTGGTCTCTTACTGGCGTCCGATTACCGCCCCGTCGCCAAGCAAACTGATAATTTTCCCTGCCAGCCTCCACTAGCAGAGAGCAAACGTCGACGCCGTTCTCTTAATGGCAAAAAACTTTGCCCAGCGGCCCTCTCGCGGTGTCGCCTTTTACTTGCGACTGTCTGTATGCTCGCTTTCCTGACTGTGCTTATTTAATTCGTCCATTTAAGAAGTGTTTAAACTTCTAGCATTCATTGCTGCAGAGTTCATTTATCTTTAGACGCCTTGCAACACCTTTGACTGGTATTCAAATTGAGAAACTGTCTTCCACGCCTAAGGGAATTGATAAATTTGTTCAATTTCCGATGTTGCTGAGCAAAATTGGCCACTCAATCATACGGGCAGCCAATTTAATTCATATTTGCATTCATTGGAAACCTCCTGTTTCGGTCCGAAACCGAGAAGATAGAATTTAAATATTAATTATTGACATGAAGCTCCTATTTGAAAACACAATAAAATTCCAATAATATTTTAGTAATATTTAGGATTTAACCCGGAAATTGTTAATCAATTCCCGTATAAAATTAAAATTCTTCTTTTGTTCTATTTTGATGCAAATTAACTGAACATTTGAAGCTAATGTTAAAACAACTTCGGCGTCATCAACAACTTCAGCTATAATAAGAATGGGTGATTCTGTTCATCAATACTTCTAAAACTTTCTTTCATGCTCTTTTAAACAATTTTCCGCTCGACCGTGTCGCTCTAGACGTACATACGGCGTTCAGTGAGAGGGATGAGAAGGGAAGTGAAGTGAAGTAGTCCCCTTCACTTCCATACATTCTAAAAATTGAATTGATGTATGGAAAAAATTGTTTATTTCTCGGCATTGCAACAGAGATCAAATGTAGCGCACTTCAAAAACATAAATTTTATGCGTAGTGAAAAATAGATGGCTCTTCGTAGACGGATTTATGGAAATAAATGTGAAGAACCCATATGGAGAATTTCGAAGCTAATGCATGTTAAATCGCATCACTAATATGCGCACCAACTAGAGTTATCGACAAAACTAAAGGTCAAGTTTCTTTAAGCCTAAGTTCGCATCACGCAGAAACTGCGAATTTAATAAAATATATTTTAGTTTAATTCTAAATGAATAGTTCTTTCACGAAAGGAATATTCTTCACTCCATAATTTGATATTCAGTTATAAGTCATAAAAATTGCAAGAAAAATCGAAATTAAAGTGCGGTGTTACATGACTTTCAAACTTTTTCCCGAGAACGGCTCGAAGTTCCGAGATGAAGCCCGTCAGCATAACAAACGATCGCCCGAGCGAAAGGACTGGCAACAAAAAGTGACAATTCATGTTCACCGACGGCCTTTCCTAAGTAATCAGTATATCTTTTTGCGACTATGCACTAACTTTTTACAGGAGGCAGAAGCCAGGTATGATGAATCACCATTACTTGTGCCGTGCTCAATACGATGTCAGTTTAGAATCAAAATTAAAACTATAGTTTTCGATAGTCTTAACTTGGACAATGTTCAGACTTGATAATTTTTAATCGTAAGTGTTGATATGATTGCTACAGCTGTCAAGCAAGCAAATATTAAAGATTATTTAACATTATTATCTACACATGCATACGAGCATTCGCACTCATTAAAGTTTATTATCCAAAAATATATACCTGGATTAGTGATACGATTCCGCCGATATATCTTAATTAGTCTATTAGTGCCGCGAAGAAAGCAGTTGAAGGCTCGCCGAGAGACGTGTTCTTTATAAAAACCTGAATATAGAGATAATAACATCTCAATATCTGCAAGGCGCTCGTCAGTCAATAGAATGAGCATCTTAATGCCTCCGCTGGGCATTCTTTAACTAAGCCTAGTTTCATGGAGTTTCAAGGTTAACTGCGAATAATTGCATAAATTGGAAAATGCAAAATACTCATCCAACATCAATAAAAACTCATCTGCAAACATTTTCATACTGAAGAAATTTTTGTGGACAGTTTTACATTCGAATTTATATCTAGAGTTTGGTTTTTGATTTTTACCAAAACATGATGGTTTTTACCATTCTGCATTTTAAAAGATGTTCAAGTAAAAAAGCAAGCAGCTCGCGAAGAATAACGAGCAATTATTTGGTGCTTGCAACATATTTTCAGTCAACTGAAGACATATGAATGAACAAGAAGCCATATTCAGGTATCTTGACTGTTCTCAATCAACAAAGGAAACTGAAAATAAAAATTTTACACATATATAAATGATTAACCAGCATCCAGCAGTTCAAATTAGTGAACTCATTCGCTAGGGAAAAAATTGTGTTCTATTTTATCTTTATGCATGACGAAACCTCCAGCCAATATCGTCCTTAGAATGGTTAATTTTACAAATATCGTCAACCGAATGTTTAATTTTACATCGTTCACATTCTCGGCCGTATTTTTTCAACATAGACTAAATAAACAAGAGTGGGGCGCCTAGACTACATATTCGTGCTGTCATCATGACGAGGCCTGTTTATTCACCAACATGCGCGAGAAAGTTCGAGGTTCCGCAATAAAGTCGGTCATTCCCACAGACGTACGCACTGGCCTGAAAAAATCAGGAAGAATTTATTTCTATCACAGCAGCGAATTTTTTACAAGACGCGAACTACATGACATAGGAAATTACTATTCATTAGGAAATACAAAGTAAGTTATCTACGCCATAAATAATTATCCGAGTACAATATTCCGGTGCATCTGCAAATATATAGGTTCATCTTATATGACATCAATAATCAAAACCTGCATATTTTTCAATGCAATATTGTGAAAAGTAGAAACAAAGGATAAATATTACATTGCTTCCAACTTCATTAAAAAAAATTCCGCATTCAGATTTTAACAAATATGGGAAAGAGCAACAATGACTTAATTAAAAACGATTGGAGAAGAAAAGTAGAAGTCGGACGAAACATTGATGATTTATCAAGTTAAAGAACGACAGATAATGACGTTTTCAAAGTTAAGCCTTTAAATTATTTCTTTAGATTCGTTGTTCTTATAAAACTGAAAAGTTTTGGATCCTTTTAAATTGAATGCATGATTGCTGGCAACATAAAGGCTTTTTTAGATGAGAGGTGTGCGAGTATGAAAAAAATAACGAGTACTAATTGCATTGTATGAATAGCATAATAATATAATAACAGTAACAAAATAACAGTTCTTAACTATTTTTCAAGTTCAGCAAAAACCTTCTCGGACATTGTCTTGCCTCTCGTGGGAAACAGTGAATACATAAATTCAGCCAGTGTCGACGTTTGCGAGTAAGTCGGGCGACCATAATTAAAATCTTTTATTGAATTCAATCCACGATAAGGAAATTTCACCTTATTTATGCGATAAAAGTGTTTAGGAGTGTGACTGTTAAGGTGTGGCAGTGAGCGGCAAGGGAGGCTTTTGCCCTTCAGCTTCAGTGCACCTAAATGTCGTGCCTCGGCGTTCCGGAGTTAACAGTTACAAGCTCTACTTATCGCAGGGAGCGTAGGATGCCAGTGTGAAGCCGAAATCATTTACCGAACAACTTTTTCAACAGTCTACCCCTTCACAGTGAAATTTTATTTCGTGATGGAAGTTGTATTTCCTCTGCGAATGAGGAAATCTGTGTTCTGATGAATATGTAAGCCGTTAAGTAGATAATATACGGCCGAGTGCACAAAAAATTAATTGAGATACTCTTAGTCTCCCTAAAATCCTTCACCAATTCACGAAAACAAAGTTTATGCATGAATATAATATGTTGTTATTGGGGCAAATACCTATCCCAAAATTTTTAAATAAATATCATTGAAGACAGTGATTTTTTCAATTATGAAAGGGATCTAATTCTTCTTATCCACGCATGCAACTCATCGTGATGCAGCTAGTTTTGGTTAACATCAACAAGAACCTCTCCAGCTCAGTGAACATATCACAAACCAGCACGGCGCTATGAGCCTATTATCGTGACACCGGCACCTGCACTGTACAACAAGCAGTTGTAGAAAAAAAAACATTCTAAAACTTAATTATTTAAAGGATATTACAACACCGCATATATAAACTGTTTAATTCTTAGTCTAAACTAAAGTCCAATAAAATATAAAAAGCTACACGTTCGTGGAATTAGTCAGCAGTATAGGATATAATAATCTATCCGGAACTGAATTTCATTATTTAGTAGTAATACAACACAATTAATAAGAATCACATCTAAAGTCACAGGCACAATATTTCACGTTGGCAGCATAAATTAGTGCGCAACGACAGTAAAACTATCAAAGCTCAACACATTTCAAGCCAGTGGCCCTGACGGTTCCATCCAACAATCGAATCTGACGATCACTGAGAAGCGAACACCAGCTCGTTCTCAGCCGTCGTTGCAGACCTTCAGATTACCCACAAGTCTGAGCAATGCACCGCACACGAGTCGCTCCCAGCAACTAACGTATCAAGACTCTCTCGTCCCCGACGCCCGGACGTTCGGTTTTTTGCTTCGTTCACAGCTCCGTACAAGGAATAGCTGGGGGCGAGCGACGCTTCCCGCGATGATTGCATCTTTCCTTATACATAGGGAATGCTGGCCTTGAGCGGCAACCGCATATGCTCTTCAAAGTTTTCAACTCTTTACCTTGAAGATGGTGCCCTTGAAAATGGTCAGAACACAGGAAAGTCTTACCCGGAGCTTTAACATTTTCATCATGAATGATGGCCCTCAATTTCGATCTGATTGGGCCTGCTGCAGAATTCAATATCCACCTTAAAATCATTTATCAAACTATAGAATCGATTGAAGCCTAAATATAGACTCTTGCGTCTCGGAATCAATTTCTTTAAATGAACCGGGACAACCGGGACGAGGCGGAAATTTACCGGGGAAAAATAACGTTACAGCGGGTAAAATTTGTCCCGGAATAAACACATGAACCGGGATAAAACTTGGGTCCCGGACTTTGAAACTTGTGTCCCGGACTTTAAAACTTGTGTCCCGGACTTTGAAACTTGTGTCCCGGTAATTATGAAACGATACCAGACATGGTTATAAAATTAGACGTGACGTAACGAAAATAAACAAGTCTTTAAAATTCAATGCAAAACAAGATAGTCCAGACTATACTAAAACAAAACGAAACATTCCGAACGCGTGGTTAAGGAAGACCAAGATAGCACTTGATTGTTAATGGGCAGATCCCACGACATTTGATTGCCAAACTAATTAGGCAGTTAAATTAGTGGGCAGAATTGGCGATGTATGGCTGAATATTTAGTGAATGATGTTCTTTCTGAGCCTTTAATTTCGCATGACGAGAAGTTGAGAACCATATGAGTTCGGTACGCTTAATTGATGGCATCATGGCAAGTTGGTGACGCAGTATCGATCGGTCAGACGGTTAGTAAAATGCCGATTTGCTTTCTCAAGCCCTGCAAGATGCCACGAATCAGAAGTGGTAACTGGAAATATTTTGAGGATCAAAGAACAGGCGAAACCCATGATGACCAAGTTTTAAACCAGGCCAATGGTCGATGCAAATTTTGTGGCGATATTTGCAAGCTCAATGACGAAAACACATCGGGCAAGCGTAGACATGGTTGAACTATGTATATAAGATTGACCCACGAGAAGTTCCGTCTTTCAGTTCAGTTTTCTTGTAACGTCACGTAGATCGAGAAACGTAAACAAACCCGTCATTCTCATGACAGATTGGTTGACTCATGGTTGTATTAATTCAACCATGGGTTGACTGGTTTGATCGCATTTCGGTGATTGGTTAATGCCTGTGACGTCACTGAGATCAGTGACGTCACAGACGAACAACGAACTACATCCTCAAAAATTGGCTTCTAATGGGTCAACCTTATACTAGTTCAACCATGAGCGTAGACACCTTTTTCTTGCCGACGCTGGTTAGTTCAAAGACGAGAAACATAATGCCGGAGAAAAAGAGATCCTGATATGGCTTCAAAAGAACTTTAGGCCATCTGCAATGAAGATGAGGCTTCATTGAATTTTAATTATAGAGCTAAAAATTCTGGGAAATTTTAAGACTCCAATTTTAATCGGGACGTCTCGTCAAGGTATTGTCCCGGTATTCCCACAGAATGCTGAAAATTGTCCCAGTTTTTATTGCTAACCGGGTCGAACATTGTTGTTTCGTCTCGTCTCGAATGGTATACGAATAGAGTATAAGAACAGCTTCGAACAGACTCGGATCACGAAACTTCGAACAGGCTCGGCTGTTCCCTATGAGTTTCTGCGCAAATTAAGATGGACTTCACTCCGCTCGCAACCGAGATGGCAATATGAATTTTTCAGTGCTTACCCATGCAGCGGTTTATTTACAGACTGTAGACAGTAACAAAAAATATCTAAACTTCGCAGTAAAAGAGTTATGATGAAGGAAATTTCAAGAAATTTTTAATATTAATGTTCATCAATTCTGCAACTTTTACACTTTTTTCGAGATGTCAACGGGTTATGATTTTTATTCTCCACTGAATGGTATACTCGGCATTTCTTGATCAGCCCCATTGTTGTAGATATTACCTACCAAAAACTAGTCATGATCTAGCATGCTTAAACGTGGAGGGAAAATCCCGCATATTAACTGTTTCGATGGAGGCTTTGCGGAAGGTATGAGGGGAAGCAGACGTCGCAAATTACTGAGCTGTCAGTCCACGACGGGCTGCACAGTGAAGACGAACTCAATGAGGGGGCGAGGAATAATACGTACGTAGCCAGCGTTCGGCCTATTCCCATTAGTTATAGCCGACCGCTGGCCATTCCTCGGCCACACGAACCTCGACCAGTTACCGGAAAAGATGACTGGCTAGGATATCATATTGCATAGACTACAAGCTCGAGGGTGACGACCAGACGAGCTTAGGGCCGATTTCACAGGATGACTGCGACTGCCTCGCTCTCAGATTTCGCCGCACTTTGACTACCAGGCTACTAGGCTTTGTAAACCTTTAAAGCTAGCCAGAATCGTGCAATTATCATCCACTGCTGGATGCAGGCGTTTCTTGTTCCTTATTTGTACCACGCAGTTATATACGACCAAATAACTCGTAACTCCATTACAGGAACTCTCAGCCTTGATTTCACATGAACAAATAATACACATTTTTTTATGAATGATGTTGCAAGTTTTTTAGCCTCATGACTATATTTCAACAGTTCCGTAAATTGATAAAAATGAACCTTATGTTGGTAGAATAAATCTACCTGTTAATTTGACATTATGCAGCCACTTTAAAACTCTAAGATCCCTCGCATAATAGTTGAGTTGAGTTTGTATCGAGAACCGTCCTTGGTCACGCTGGAGCATAGCTTTTGGCGCTCATCTATATTCTATCACAATGCACAGATTTTTGCACCTGAAACGTCATTTGCAGACCAGAAGCCATGAATCGCCTTAGTAGTACAATCTAGTAAACATACGACTTACTACTAGTAGAATTGTTCAACTTGTATACATTTATAACCATAGATTTTTGTAAAATATACTTGTTATCCGTCACGTGCCTGGTCACATCCTGGTCCAGTGAAGTTGGATGAGGGTTTTGAATGACGACAATGTTCCTCTAAATGCCGCGTGTCGATTCAGTCTGAAAGCCTACTATACATGAGGAACGTAATTTTGTAAACAGTCAGCAGGTGCCAGTACGGGTTGTAAGCCGTCGAGTTAGGTCTGTGGCATTGAATATGGAACATATAACGGTAATGACGAGTTTGAGGAAGCGTTTGAACTTTGATGAAGCAGCTGGAGGCACAGTTGCCACTCTTTTTGAGGAGGATAACTTAGTAGATCAGCATAGAGTGTGGGCGAGAGACCTTATAAGGTCTCGTTTCAGTTTCAAAACACTAATTTCTCAATTACTTTTTTGTAATATTCATCGTGACGTACATACATTCCGCAGTGTATCGTATTTTGGAACATCTATATGAACAGTATAATATCATATGAACCTCTCTTGGCATTCTTAGAACCGTCGTCTTTGGGACATGACATTGTAATGGCATCAGCCATTACAATATTTGGAGTGCAAATACTAGCACCTTTCTGCAGGAAAACAGCTGGCATCATTGATCGGGAAAGCCACCAACACAATTGAAGTAGCTTAAGACTAACCCGACTTAACTAACTTCACCGATGGCCCACTCATGTTAGCTCAGGAAACTCACAAGCTTAGGATAAGGGATTTGTCCTAAACCAATCTCGCAGTACACGTGCAGCCAACTGCGCATGCTAGTCAACCGGCAGCACCTCTCTCGATTCACAATATTTCATGACGCCTAAATAATGTATAATAAATGTTTAACCGACAAGACTAAGTCATTGATCGTTCACTAACAACTCAACGATGGTTATCGATAATTAGTCATTTCATTCCAGCATTTTGTCTCTCCTGAACAAACAAGACTAATAGTAGCGATCTTTTTCAATTCGTGGAGATGCCCAATTCAAGAACCAATGTACGAGAGCGTCAAATGATAAGTTCAATAAATCAAATTCTAATTAATAACACACTAGGCTGATGTGCATTAAAAAATCTATGTTATATTAGATATCGCTATACAATTAGCAATCAACGAAAAGGCAGCACTCTCCATGCTAGTTTCAAGACAATGAGGGATAGAAAAAACGTGAGCATTATGTGAATATTTATTCATGTCTGAATGCAAAATACATCGATCACATTACAAAATGGATGGCTTCACATAGTGTATGATGGACGCTAAGTAAAGATAGCAACCACGATGCCGATCGACGTCAAGTTTCAGAATATCAATTCCTAGTCTTCGGCCATAACGAAGTAATGTAACTGGAGACGAAGCTTCGCTAAGGCTCGAGCGTGACGACTTCTACATCGCAGCAGCGATCGCTTAGATAGATGGTCACTACAGACTACGGGATGGAAGGGCAATTGGGGAGGTGGGGTTAAGACGTGAACAGCTCGCTTCGATTAACAAAATGAAAGGATATTTTACCTTAACAAATGGCTATGTCATCTATACTCAACAATATTCACTTCTTCAAACTTAGTCCCTAATCCGCAACGTTCTGTCGGGGACAAAAACATTTGGTATAGATGAAGCACATGAACGCTCCACGCAAGCATGTCTTGAATGATTCTGAAATTAATAGGAAGATCATTTCATAATGAAGCGGGAGGAGAAGTACGATAACTTGATCATACGAACTATTTACTGAACTAAATGCAACGCAAATATATCGTTCATAGCGCGTCAACCTGAAGACAAGGGAATTATCTGGAATAAAGAGCAGATAAAAGCTCAGTGAGCAGTTCACTAAATCACGCACTTGCTTTTATCAAATCCTCTCAATCAAATTGTCAACGCAAAAATAAGCGAAGTCATGACATTAGTCCCGCAAAATAGCATTCGAAGCATCAACAAAATCCATCGGTATTTTCAAACTAACTCAAGACTTAAAAATAAAAAAACCAACATTAGACGTAAACGAGGACTTAGAATGAATTAGAAGGCTACACAAGATAATAGTTGAGAGCCTCTTCATCTAAGACGACGAATCATCTAAACTTCAATAACCTAATAATAACGTGAATCAGCATGGATGTAGTCAGTAACATCTGTATAAATAGAAGAACTGTTGGGCGCCAACTTGAATGTTTGGCTCCAGAAATAACCATCTGATAAGAACTTGAGGTAGTTGCTCTAAATAGAAGCCTATTGACGGTGCTGGTTGATAAAATGTGACAAAGAAAGTTATCCAAAGTTTAGTAAACGGTTCAATAACCTCGAGCTACTTAGCTATAACAGCTTCAACATTCAAAAGAGATTACTGACACGAAATGTTTGGGGGTCTATAGTTGTTTAGGGTCTACTCCTATATACTATTGGACACACTAGTCTGGATGGAACGGATGAAACTATTCGGTACGAGAGCAGTACGCCTCGCAGCCCCACGCAAGAACTCATGGCAGTTATAGTAAGAGCTTCAACCTAAGTCTGAATTGAGAGACAACCGTCAACTTCTTACTGAGATTGGATCACCAGCAAAGAAGAATAAACAAACGAAGAATAATATCACCTAGAGATTGCAAAGGTCAACAAGGAACACAATATAATTTAGAGAACATCACGCCACCATCCCATTCCAAACATGGATTGCTTCATCAGAATATTTTGGATTTCTCATGAAAAAAAAAAAACTGAATAAACTAGCTGCCGAGTTTCTTGCGAGGGAGTGCGCAATGTTCTACAAGACACTACACGCTAAACAGAGCGGCACACACGTTGCCTCTCTATGGTCCAGAAAAATCTAATGGTTGGTCGAGTGTTGGCTCGTCAGAAAACTAACATTTCTTCAACCTCTGACCACTACAAGCAGACTCGCGTAAATATGAACGATGTCGGCACTCTTCACGCTATTCAGAAGAGAACACTACGAGCTCAATACAGTTGAACGAGTAAACGGAGCTTCAGTGATCCACTAGCAGTACCGTATAGCAATGCCTCCACTCCTGCACACAGCGTAGCATGAGCCACTCAATGAAGGGATCGATCGAGACGTAAATGTTCGAAAAAGCGGGAGCGGATTCAGGCGCGCTTTGTCTGAGCACATCCAGTGTATCGTGATTAGAAATAAAACTGATCGATAACATCTAAACATTCAGGAAAATAAACGGTCAACAGATTGCTCTCCTAAATATGTCAACTAAGGTAACTTTAACAACTGTCCAATTAAATGAAATTTAGGTCTTACTAACGTGAGTTTGATGCCTGAATAACATGTCCATGACCTGGACAAATTATTCAGGCTATGTTGCATGGGATCATTTAAACTCAACCCATTGCGACCGTACTCAGCGATCATTTGAAGTGAACAACTGCAGATGAATGACATTTCCAAATATTATCCAAATAGCCGAGTCAAGTGAAGGTGCAACTCTTGAGGAAATTCTTAATCGAGTGCGTCTTGATGAAGGTTGAACAAGTCCAGGGAGCAAGTGTCTCCAGGGAGCAGGTGTCTCCAGGGAGCAGGTGTCTCCAGGGAACAGGTGTCTCCAGGGAGCAGGTGTCTCCAGGGAGCAGGTGTCTCCAGGGAGCAGGTGTCTCCAGGGAGCAGGTGTCTCCAGGGAGCAGGTGTCTCCAGGGATCAGGTGTCTCCAGGGAGCAGGTGTCTCCAGGGAGCAGGTGTCTCCAGGGAGCAGGCGTCTCCAGGGAGCAGGTGTCTCCAGGGACCATTGTAGTCAACAAACGTTGCGTCAATATTCGAACCAATGAGTTAAAAGTAAAAAAAAAAATTATCAAACTTCTGATGGAGTTTCACTAAAAATTTGTTGTCAAAAAGTAAACAAGACTTCCAGGTTACAGAATTCTTATTTGTAACTAACTATTGTTTACACCACTAAATTAGCAAGCGCATGTAGCAAATTTGAACGTATCCACCGACATGTCCATCTGCATTAGCGAGCTTGCCAGTCTGGCGTAGCACTAAGGGACAAAACTCCTGTAGACTAGGCCAGCTCGCAGCAACTGCAACTGACAGTGAATAGTTTTGCAGCGAGATACAAGCATATTGATCAACCCTAGAACGATATATTATGAGATAAGCTTAGGAAATATCAGGACGGCTAGCGTGAAAAGACCTGTCGACACGCAGAGTCTAGTTAACACCTGTTCCATATGGTAGCATGCTGCGGCTTCAATAACGATACAAATGTACACTTTCAAATAATTTCTTACAAAAAGTGAATCCGCATGTAACAATTTGCGTAACCTGGTCAACGCAGGCGATGAGGCTGTCACTCGCAAAGTGATTAGAAAAAATGCATTGCGACACGGAAGGCTCGAATCGAAGTTAGTTTGACTAAGTAATAGTGTAGAACGGTTCAGTAGCATCACATATAATGTAAACAATACAGTTAAGATTTTCAATTCATTTTGTATATGGCCGACGCAAAATAATGCAATCCTGTCGCGTAATTGAGACTACATCAGAATGTGATTGGAGTTGCCACGCCGTGAATCCGTGCCGTCCGATGTGACTTGTTCAGTCATTTGAGTAACAGGCAATTTACAGGCAGACAATGCTGGCTTAAAATTCCACGAACCAGACTCACTACAAATACGGCGTCTTAGGTGTAGAAAATTGAACCCATGGAAAAAACTGCACCTCAACATTTCGAAATTTAACCAAAATAATACAGAATTCCTTCTATAAGAAATCTATTCATTTTAGAGCCCATCGCACACTAATGTATACAATCGACAACACATTAGCTGCGTCTGCAGAATCAAGCTACTCATATCCTGAAGATTAGCGACAATTCTTGCACGAAAATAGCATCGATTAGATTTCAAAACTGGCACGATAAGCAGATTTGCACTAGTGATCATAATCGTGGAATGTGAACAGCCCGGATACCAAAATACTCTCCGATTGACTCGGGATGATGGTAATGTTGATGCCTGATTTACTTTTGAGGTATTGGTACTGCGACACCGAGAAACTCCCGAGAAAATATAGCCTGCAACAGCACCCAACAAAACCCCCCCTAGTAATAGCGGTGCCAAGATTTTCATATGATGGCATTAACCACAGTTTTGGAGCCACAGCAGCAGCGAATTCGTGTCAGATCATGGTTCATAGATGCTCATCAAGAGCGCTGGTGTGAATAAGAAACCGTATTCTGATGAAAGGATAGCGCTATAGCGGCGCAGGACGGACCATATGGCGTTTGACAGCAGCGGTGCTGGACTCCAGCATACGTAAGGCCCTCACTTTTGATTAACATTTAGAGCGAGCATATTAAGCAGGCGTTTGATGTGGCATTACAATTAACTGCTCCTGGCGCAACATTACTACGAGTATAGTTGAATAAAGTGACGTGCAATATTAACCAATATGCTTGCTATAGTTAACGTAGGTGAAAAGTATTCATATTATAGTTAATAACATTCTTAACACAACAATTACAAGTCTGTAGCTGGGTATGTAGGTACGTATGATAGAATATAGCATTTAGCTTACATTACGATGCTATAGAAGGTTCCTCAAGAACCCATTATCAGGCAAGCATGCCTGCCTCAGCTATCTTCCGAAAATTAGTGCAGTTGATACTTTTCTTGTTGAAATACTAATGTTTAAAAAGAGCTGATGCACCTCAATTAAACAATTTATTTTTACACCTCACTTTCAATAAACTGGAGCGAGGTATTCAAACGAATTTGATGAATTCTTCAAGCAATAAAAGCCCGACGACAGGTCAAGGCTTGAGGACCTAACTCAAAGATTAGGTCATCAAATTACAACGTCACATTACATCTCACCAAATGATATTGTGAACAAACACGCAACAACACACAAGAGGCATCACTACCAGCACTAAGATAAGGTAAACAAAGTAAAATTAACGAATTGCGAAACATTGGTAACGAAAGAATGTATTTGTGTTGAAAATATTCAACCAGTCGTGATCACGCATGCTAATTTCATACAGTATTTATTTCATACAAGTAATTTTAATTTCTTTCAAACAAGGCGGCGCGAGACTTGGTCTTGTTGAGGCCAAATAAACCCCCAACACTTAGCGTCAGAACGAACATAGATCTTACCTGATCAGTCACGTGTCACTTAGCAGTTTATTGGTCGACAGGAAGTCATGAACGTCGCCAAGGCGCTTTCCTACTAAACGGTCAATTCGCTATGTTGGCGCCAAGCTTTTTACATGGTGGTAACTAGTCGAGCGTGCATTAATGTTAGCTAAATCTGTTCGTTCATTTATTCGTCTCAGATCAGAATAGTGAACGAGTATTGAATTGTTACAGCACCGAACTGAGAGCTGCGGATAACATTGCGGTACGTGCTCAGAAGCTCAGTAAAATATACAAACAATAGCCTATCATAACAAACTGCAAAAAAACTACTATGCTTCTCGTTTAAACTATCATTTCAGCAATGCATCAAGATTAGTTATGCCACGACACGCATAATACCGAACATACTATAAAGCCCCCAACTATATTGAAGAACAATCAAAACGCAATCGATCTTGTATACAGACATTAGAATGACATACGAATTCCGGAGCTAAACCGAGCTACTCTAGACATGAACGATGTTAACTTTGCTAAGACGCACCAAGCTAAAAAAAATATATAAAAATGCCCACTTATTATGCAGCGGGAGGACCAAGAAGTTACTCGGATTAGAACAGTTAATTGTGAAGCACAATCGTATACTCGTTCTCATCCTTCCAAGCCCTCAGTTTACAGAGAACAAGAACATGTACAACTCGACATTTTTGCAGAAACTGCTACTACTTCTTCAACAAAGGTACTGTATGCAAAAAAGATACAAAATCATAGAACCCGGGTTCTCTTTTAAAAAGTACCGGGTTCTTTTTTAAAAAGTAAACAGCTACCCAACAGTCTTTTGTGGATAATCCCCTTGTAATGCAGCTCAGAGAAAAAATGCAGCTCTTTTTTAAAAAGTAAACAGCTACCCAACAGTCTTTTGTGGATAATCCCCTTGTAATGCAGCTCAGAGAATGCCCAGTTGAGGAAACGCGAACACAGTAGAACATCAGAGCAACAACATTGAGGTAAAAAAAAAGTCGAAGAAATACGTTCTGTTATTTGCGAGCAGGCAAAGCGTACACCGCTGTACAAACAAGAACAATTGCAGGACTCCCAGAGTAACAATGGAAGTTTCTCTGACTGTAAAATCAGGTAAGATTCAATGGGAGGTTGTTAATTTTGATAATGAAAGTAAAAATGTCATCCAGACTTTCTCAGGAGAGTACCTATATTGTTGACGATTAATTAGCAGAGATGACAATAAAAATCCAAAATTTATTTACTGCATGGAAAATGCAATCGGCAGGTATGGTTTTCTAAACAAAATAAGAACATTGAAATACAACCCGGAGTGGCTTGAATTGAGCGAATCCTCGACTGTGAATCGAGTGACTCGCTCCGTGAATCGAGTGACTCGCTCCGTGAATGAATGAATCGCTCCGTGAATTGAATGAATCGCTCCGTTTCTGGTGTGTAAGCGGAGAAGGCGGAAATGATGCACGATGTTGAGGCAGACTCTAGTAGTTCTCACGTCGGCCACCTTGACCGCCAAACTCGCGAACACTGCAAAATGGCATCTCGTCAAAATACAGGACCTGCATCAGTACAGTGACAAATTGAAGAACTTACTCAAGGTAAATATACAAATTTTTAGCGTTCTGATGCCATAGCTGTAGCTGGTAAAGTGTGGCGAAAGGTAAATACAATCAATGAATTTTGATCCACATGAGAAATGACGATCTCTCTTTAACTTCAGAAGCAAATTTTATAATTAAAGACGTGGTGAGGTGATTAGAAAGGGACAATAGATTTAATTTGATCTGAAAATGAACATCAGAAGTTACGTTAAATTGTCGCAGGATCTCAACCGAGTGAAAGGCCGTTTGCCAGGTTATAAAATTCGACAAACAACTTAGAACCTATTTCCTTCACGGAAGCTCAAGCACACTGACATTAAGCGCGAAGACCAAATCTAACACAAGATTAATATGAGATGAAATCGACCACTGAACTCGGTTTGTGCCTCTTATTTCGTCGGTGGGGCCAGAAAAAAACCTTAGGTTGGACCTTAGAAGATTCCATAACCACAACAACCTTCTTATGAGATACAGCGACCCCTCACCACCACTTTAGTGGCCCCAATAAGACTCGGGCAGTTGGTTAGTAGACTCGGGCAGTTGGTTAGTAGACTCGGGCAGTTGGTTAGTAGACTCGGGCAGTTGGTTAGTAGACTCGGGCAGTTGGTTATCAGACTCGGGCAGTTGGTTATCAGACTCGGGCAGTTGATTATCAGACTCGGGCAGTTGGTTATCAGACTCGGGCAGTTGGTTAGTAGACTCGGGGCAGTTGGTTGATTTATAAATTTGTTAGTTGATGTCACAGGTTAGAAGCGCAGGCAGCGGCTGCATTGCTGAGAAGACTGGCGATTTCTTGTTAGTAAAAACAAACAACAAAATCACTAGTCTTCCACAGCACTACAGTCGTGACTCCAAGTTACTCCCGAGTGGCGAAAGTCAGATTCCTCACGAACTCTGAGCATCACTTCGCGGATTTTGAACATTCATTCAAAGATAACGAAGTATGAAAGCTGTCGATAAAGCAAAGCTTCCTACTAAATAAATAACTAATTACAAATTAAATTATAACTTGATAAGCCACAACAACATTAGAATGTACGTGCGTCAAACGCAAAACTTCAAACTCGATGAATATTTGAATATACATCTTTGTATACATTCAGAGCAAGCCGATTAGCGCATCATTCATGTAAAATTACTGCATCTAAGCATCATAAAAGCAGGCTATCAATGATCGGCTTTTGCAATGCAATCTAGCAAGAATGTAGTGAGCTGCTCACCTCTGTTGCAGGAGGTACTGTGCGTATTTGATCTGCTGGTCTTCGCCCACGATGGTGATGACGCGGTCGTTGCTGCCAGGGCGCGCGTCCTCGATGTTGATGCTGCAGCACGAGTCCGCTCTGATCTTGCGGATACGCGCGCCTCCCTTGCCGATGATGGCCCCCGCCACGTCTTTGGGGATCGTCACCTGCGATAAGTTCTAAAGTCAGGAAATCGCAGTAAATGGTGATTTCAGGAAATAAAAATTAAACAATTTTACAATACTCTATCATCAACAATAAGATAAGTAGCAACAACGTGTTAAATAACATAATTGTCAATAAAACGCTCGTTATACAGCCGTTTATATGAGTGACATGTGGACAGGTTATTTCTACACATAACACGTAGAAACAAGAGAGCAAATCGCATATAATGAATTTTATTATTCCCAAACCGGTTACTAGCACGATTCACGAGAAAATTACTCAAATATTCCAAATTAAGTGACTAAGTTAAAATTTCAGACACCGTAACAGAAATGAAAAAATCGATTTTACGATAATTGACCTTACGCCAACGCAGTTGCTCAATAAACAAGAGCATCAACAAAAAGTACACCAGCTCACTTGAGTCGTGATCTGCTCAGCCATGCCCATAGGCTGGTTGTTGTTCCAGTATCCACCGCCGCCACCACCTTTGACACCTCCCACTCCGTTGCTCGGCATCATGTCGAAATCCTCGCCTCCGCCAACTCTTCTGTTCATGCCGTTACCGTTACGAGGGGGAGAGAATGGTCCCCCAGGCGGACCTCCTCCCCTTCGCCTATCTCCAAAAGGTCCCATGCCTCCATCCCTCGGTACCATAGCGCCTTGAGGAGGTCCCATGGGCCCACGTCCTCCCATAGGTCCTTGCGGGGGAGCACCCATCGGGGGCATGCCAGGTCCACCGCCGCGAGGGAAACGGCCTTTACCCTCACCCCAGCCGCCATACTCAGCGGCGAAGAAGTCCTCGTAATTGTAGGGGTTATAGGGGTTCTCAATGCCCTTGACGGGCGTCTCTCTGAGGGTGTCGACGACGGTGTTGAGCGTGAGCAGCACGCGGCCGCGGTCGCCAGCTATCTGGATGACGCGGTCTGTGGACTGAGGGCAGCAGCTGCTGAACGCCTTCACCTGACCACCGCACATCTGCACACATTCAAAAATTCAATTAGAATAAACCCTCGTAAGATTACAATTCAAATAAACACAAGGATGAACACATTTCGTACGAAAAATCGTATGGATACGCTACAATATGTCACCAACAGAACCGGAATCGAAGCAAAATTGGCAGAAATACGATCAAAAAGCATCTTTGAATACAAGCAAATGGAAAGCTCGTCAAATTCGCCGTGTTCCTTAACAGAAGGAATGTGAAGTGGAATCAGTTAATTAGAACTCTGGCACAGGGAAATGAAAGCGAAGCATGATCACGATTCAACTCAATTTAAGCACGATTCAAAGTTGACCAACTACAAGCAGCGCATGACGATACTAATCGATAATTAATGGGACGCTAGCAAATAATTTAAAAGGAGATGTAATTATTCTACATCAATTTCTCGAAACCATCATCATTAGCGTATATATGCTCGATAACTCCTTTAATATAGCAATTTGCATTCAAACGCTATGTTTTGAGCGACAAAATTAAATGGTAACTAAAAAGAAGCAGGTACTCGCAGGTACTCTCCTAGGAAACTCTTCAGCGATATTCTGTTCATTAACATTTCATACCGAAGACCATTCATTGTTCGAAGATTTGCGATTACATCATATATAATGTACAGAGCGCAATGGTTGAAACAATAGAAAATATAATAGGGCGCATGCGTGCTTCATGTGAGAAAGAGATCACTAAAGAAACCATCAGGAAGGAGACAAGCTATCCTTCCGCCCTGCTGCTGCTGCTGCTTGACGCCCTACACACACAGGCAGCGCGGCAAAGGCTGGCGCTAGGATGTTATACAGCAACACGCCAATGAATTATCGATTTCGTGTGCAAAATCGCGTGGCATGAGAGGAGGGGGTGCAGTAGCGCGCCCACAGCAGCTCCCCTTTAATCAGCGACAAACTGGGGCTCTATGCGAGAACACCGGTCCAGGCAATGGAAGACGCTGCTGTGAGAGAGAAGCACAAGACCTGGACGATAGCATCACAGCAAAATAATGCGAACATCGCTTGCCATTAAAAGAATAAGAGATGGTTTTGAAAGATGCACGAAACTTTTTATTATAATCTGACGCTTGAAAAGATATTATATTTTTCAACACGAGTACCGTAATGAAACAAAATATTTCCCGACATTTCCCACAAACGAAAGGATCAAAATTCGGGAGAAAAATCTGCAAAAAAGTGTCTTTCCAGTGCAGTAGAAATATATAAAAACTTCTTAATCCTCATCCTTGCAAAGTTAAGAAATGACACAGCGGCAAGATGAAACCCATGAATGTAAAGACCACAAATGCCGTGTCGCAGGCTCGAGAAGAGGAACAGCAACGCTGCAGCTAACTTGACAAATGACACCGCATCTCGCACCCAAACCTGCAGCGTACCGGCCGGTTCTTGATGACAGGTGTATACCGTATTATTCTGCTAACAAAGCAACCGCTTAACAAATAGCAATATTGGAGACCCATCAGGAAGGGAGTACGTGATGAGGTATACTTTCGACAATTAGTTCGAAGAACACGCTTATGACAGAATCTCCGGTTGACCGAATAGCATGATGATATATATAATTAATTAAATTAAATTAAGTTTTAGTTAGGGTACATACGGAGTGTGCTCATGAATAGAATTATTTTCCCAATCTGACGAAGCTTTTTACTCAGAGATTCATTCACACTACACATTTCTGTCAGTGCTCAAGTCGCAAAAATTCAATGCCGGATCAAGATGATACAATTGCATTTCAAATTCTTTCTTATTTCTTAGCTTTACACAAAAAAGCGCAAAGCAGCATAATTCTGCTCCGTTCTTCGCATAAGAACGCCATGACTAAACATTTCAAACTTGCATTTGGTTCCTGAAGAGCAAAAGCGTACTTACGACTAAATCATTGATGCTGAAATTGCACGGCTCTTGGAAGGAAGGAGGCGAAAGCGAGTAAAGAACCAAGACAATAATTGTTTAAAAAAAGCTCGATACCAAACAGCGTTGCCATGACGAGTGGATGTGCCGCAGTATAAACACCGCAGCGCAAGAGCGTTGGAATGCGGAGAGTCAGCGATAACGTGGCCCTGTTTAACGAGGCTGTAACAAAACTACAAAGTTTGCATTTAAACTCTCAGGGAAAAATGGTCCCAAGCATGACCGATGCAGTCAGAAAGATTCTCTGTATTCAAAACTCGGCTCGTCAGTGTCAGATTTGTTCGTCATTAATAAGCAGCGATCTGCAGAGCGTGAGGTTTCAATCCCTCGAAAAGAACCAAAATTACACGTGCAGCGCTATCGAAAGGCTCGAGTGTTCCTAATGTATGTTGTATGTTCAGAAATGTTCTGGCAATTTATATTCTATTCTTTGTTTCAACCAAAAGATGTAACAAGATATCCGAAACATCGACATTATACTTGCGAAATTTATAGGAATAAATTATCGTGAACATAGCCTTTGTAATTTAGATGCTTAAAACATTAAAAAGTGTACAATCCGTAAAATGAATGAATTTAATTGGAGCAAGCTGGTATCAAAAACAAATAACGTAAGGAGTGGATAAAGCTTCCCAAATTCAGCTCTTATGCCAAGCGGTCGCTGGAATTGGCAGTCACGAGGATGAGCTTCGGCACTAATAAAAATATAGGTAAATTTGTTGTCTAACTCGGCAGCATTCAAAGGAAATTTTTCATTGAGTAGCACATGGTGCTTTTTTACAGACACGGCATACCATCAGGTGTTAGGTCGCACTTGTTCTAATGGTGATAAAGTTTTAGCTAGGTTACCCTTCGCTACCTAAGGATGCCATTCCTTGACAAAGCTTAGCTAGTAAAAAATAAATGAAGATGCAGACGCTCGGTCCATAATATCCAAAACATAGGTTTTATTGCTGCAGGAGTACAGAAATCGGTTCAGTTATTCTCTCGTCACGACGATGAATCAAGTAAAGGCCAGCTTGCCCTTAACTGTGATCATCCTCGTCAAGGGACTGCTAACAAAAAGCAAAGCTAAATATAACCTTTGTAATGCTTAGTAAGCGGTTCATCCACGAGCATTTGTCCCACTGAACTCGAATAGAAGCTATATCAAAGCCAAAGGAATGCGGTCTGTTGGTAAACATTAATATAGAACGATAAGCCTAACATCATGTTATCTATGCCGTGAGCTCAATTCCTACCGCGAAAAAGGCTGAACTTTCATCAAATGAACTATATGATCGATCGTATTGAATAATAAATTCGATAGGATCTATGCCACGGCGCACCGACACTGACACCCTGAACCGTGTCACCATCTAATGCTACAAATTCGCTGATAAGAAGTAGTATTGGTGTAATATATTTGAGCGCAGATTCAAAGAACACAGATTTTATTAAATGTCGATTTAATTTATAAGTAAAATAAGTGAAGAATGTATACCAGCACGTTTTACACGAAATTTTCAAATATTTGTAAGAAATCTAATAGCGTTTGGCAATTTCAATGAACATAGGATTTTTGGCAGTCTTGCATACGGATTCATGAATAATGCGAACAAAATATAAAGCGTAGCAATCGGCTGTGCGCTACAGGAGTGTATCATCATCAAAGTGATATCATCATCAGAGGCTGGAGAAATGTTATTTGGCATATTAGAGATTTAATAAAAACATGCTACAGGTTCTGTAAAACCCTGCTCACGCAGCTATAATCTGAAGGAATTGTCACGAGTGTCATGAAATAAATGCTAGTTCCAGCGCCGTCGAAACACGGTAGCTGAACGCTCAATGTTCAAGGCAGGACCTTCTCATTGAAAAATTTGAACCTAATTTGCGGGAAATATATTATCTTATTTTCAAATGCAGCATTCTTAGATTGGGTTTCATCTAGAAATTTGTGGGCGGAGTTTTAATGACCACTGCAATAATGGAGAAATACAGAGCGAGGCAATGAACAGGAATACGGAGGCCCGCGAGCAGCAGCGAGGGTTGAGGGCTTCACGAGGTAGAGGAGGTAGCGGCAGAGGGCAAGGCACAGGGCGGGTCTCTCCTCATATAATCAATACTGGCGACCCGCTGCTGCTGCTGCTGCTGCTGCTGCTGCTGCTAGCACCATAACCTACACAAACACCACCACTGCTGCTGCTGCTGCTGCTAGCACCATAACCTACACAAACACCACCACTGCTGCTGCTGCTGCTGCTGCTGCTGCTGCTGCTGCTGCTGCTGCTGCTAGCACCATAACCTACACAAACACCACCACTGCTGCTGCTGCTGCTGCTGCTGCTAGCACCATAACCTACACAAACACCACCACTGCTGCTGCTGCTGCTGCTGCTGCTAGCACCATAACCTACACAAACACCACCACTGCTGCTGCTGCTGCTGCTAGCACCATAACCTACACAAACACCACCACTGCTGCTGCTGCTGCTGCTGCTCGCGCCATTACCTACACAAACATCACCACCAACACCACTACCGTTGCTTCAGTCCGCAACTACAATAACCTTCTCAAATATTACCAACATCATCACATCTGCTGCTTCCAACACCACCATCACCAACAGTTACTGCTGCAGTTACGTGTAACACCATATCATATGTTGGTGATGGCCTGTTGGTATGGCATGGTGGAGTCGGTGTTTAGCAGCACCACCACAATAGACAACCACAACTGGCACCACCACCACCACCACAACCCATATAAGCAAAATATCTTAGTGCCTCACAGCACCACGCACCATCACTCACCTCATCACCAATCCAAAATGTTAAACTCGAGAATCAAAGTGCACCACTACCACCTTCATCTCCATCCGCAACCATCACTGGTGTTAAATAATACTGCAAGCAAAACACTGCTAGCCCGTACCTTACCAAGTTAACTCTCACGCTTAACGGAAATGCCCGTGTGGCAATGACAAGTCATCAAGAAGGAAGGTAAGAGCAATATATTTGGACGCAAGGTTACAAGAGTTGCGCTGACACGCATTGTCTACAAGCTGGCAGCAGGTCGGCAGTATCCGACCCCTCAGCTCGCTGTGTGAACAATTGCTAATTGCAACTCTGCAACCCAAAAATATACGCATACAGCCCCATATTCATAAATGCAGGCAGTGGATCGACTCGTATGTTATAGCAGCATTACAAAGGAAAATCGCACAAGCCTCGTGTAAATACTGGACTATTCAGCATCATCCTCACAACAGTAAATATATGCTAATGCTCAACAGATCATATATGCTCCTGTGCTAGACTCGCCGAGGGATTACCAGCAAGTATTTATATACTCCTAGGACGCTTTTGGATCAAAGCACTGATTCAAAAAGCGGATAGTCGTTTAGACTGACTTTCTTCAACGATTTACTTCTACATTCAAGAAATAGTCAAGATACAAGAATTAACCACACCTGATCAATGTATTATCCACTGTACACGAGCGAAGTGCATCAAAATGGAGAAAGTAAGTAGAACTAAGTAATAATGGTTTAGTTTATGAATTCGGTTACTAACGAAGCACGACGGTTAGGTAACAGTAAAGCTGTGCATCAATGAACATTTTTTCACCTCAAAGGTTTTACAAATTAAAAATTTATCAAAGGCAGATAGAAATTCAAAATTAGGCGTGAGAAATTTGGAGCAACAAGTTCTTATTGCTGACGGATTTGTGATACCACAATCACTCATAGAATCAGGCCCAATATCATTTTCTTAAGATGGTAATTTCAGTCTCGGTTCAAAGGTCCAAACAATCATATTCGGATATAGTCATCATAACAGATTTTCCGGGGTTTGTAGTAAAAAATCCCTCAGAAGAAAAAAGGTGAATGCATTATAAAGCAATCAATGTAGATTGTTGCAGCTCTCTGTGGTAACCGAGCCTCTAATGAAATTATGGTATCAAAGCACTTAACGTAAGGAGACCAACCTGCTCATGTTAGCGAAGATACTAATGCGACAGCTGAGACGGCCTGCCGTTTGGACTGCAATAATTAAACTATCTAGCGCGCACTGCAGTTAGTAACGCCATTACAACCATTGTTACAAATTTCAGGTAGAGGGGAACGCGTTTTAACTTGAAATGCCTGAATTTTGAATCCTGGCCTGACGCCAGACATACTTCCCTGAAACTGGAAGGTCGGCTACGGGTTTTAGGCATTTCGTCAGAATACGAGGTATTTATTTACACTCACCAAGTTATCTTGCAAACTTCGCGGTTTTACTCTCTGCTCTCTAGATGCGAGCACGAAAATTACTTCCCCATGATGAATTACTTCCCCGTGGCGCATACAATATGACTTATCATCAGCTGTTATTGTAGTAAATTGAATGTAGTTAAGGGCTAAAAACAAAGATAATATAAAGGACTTGGCCGCTAGAGCACCAAGGACCAACGCTGACTGGAAAGATCATTCTGGATGTCAACAAGACTTATCGTAGACAAAAATTCTTCAAAATCTCATTTGACAATGTTGGGTTACAGGCAAAAACCAATTTATTGGAGTTCAACAGTCTTCAAATCCGTATACAAGGTTTCGGCCATTATAATTGAATTAAATCATGAACTAAGTTATTCGGTTGATCAATCGGGTAACATTTCACGTACCTTTCTTAGGAGAAATGCACATCAAGAAATACATTATTTTACAGAAGGAACTCTACTGCTACAGGAATATCAGCTTCTCTAATATAAGAATATTCCAGAATACGTATCTATTTTAGAATAAACGAAAACTTCTAGAAATCACTTCCCGGAAACCTTGCAGTGTGACGAATATCATGAAGCCTCTCGAAAAAAACTTTCGGTTACAAATAAAAAAGAAAACACGATTTACAGACCTGCAACGTAGTTGTCGTCTCCAAGATAATTCGGGCCGGTGACCATATTCGTTCAGAGCTTCATGTCGAGGAGATAACATTGCGATCACGGCTTTGGATAGTCTACACTCGCGGAGATTCAGCGAGTCTCTGAGACACGCTCTACAAAGCTTTCCCATGATACCACTCGCCATAAACTACGGTCAACTAAGCCAAGAAAGGCGGTTAAGAACAAAAAATTCAACGTCCGAGCGATGACTAGGATAAAAAATAAATTTCAATACATCGATGAAATTTCAAGATAATTCATTAAATTTGGTACACAATGCATTTATGATCAAAATCAGAAAAGAGAAGCACTGAAATTTGACTCTGGAAATTGGATCGAAAAAGGTCATCTTCTACGTAACGAAAAATTCCAGACAGGTGGATAGAATTGAAAGTTGACAAGAATAGGAGCTCACGATACAAGTCAACCTTAGCAACACGAAACTGAGATTAGAGTTACGATTAAACTCCCGAAGACAGGCCAGCTTTGTGACCAAGATAATAAAAACATGAGCGACATGGGAGCTTGGAGCACGCAGGGTCTACAGACGAACGCAAATATCAGAGTATCACTAAAAGGATAGCATCAATTTTACGGTCGTTGCAGTACTGCTAAAGAGGTCATGCAGTTCACTTCATCAACTTGTATATAAGAGCGAGACAACAACTAGGAGAAGGAGCGGCAGCGTGCGTGCGGGGCGCGGTTCCACAACCAAGTAAGGGTGAACGCTGGCAGCAGCCCTCTAGTCGTGTGGCCCCTCCCTTTCCCTCGCACGGCAGAGGGACGACGATACCACACCCTCAACTTGCCCTCCTTACCACACCCTCCTCTGAACCCACCGCACCCAGGAGCTGACACACACCAGCACAACAGCACAACTCCAAGAGCGTCGTGCTGCTGCACTAAGTCAGCTCGTGTTTGGTGCTGGCTTTTTACGGACGCACTTGGGCCAGCGTGAGACGCAAACGCACAAATAAACGCGACTATTCCAGCTCCACCTACTCGCTCTCCCCTCAGCTCGAGTGTATCGACCAGCCCCGGCAGCTCCACCAGCCGCTACCAGGAAGCAACCAACCTCTCCCCACGGCAACCAACCTGCCTCGCGATGGATATCAACCACACCACCGCGCGGTGTATATCAACCACACCACTGCGCGGTGGATATCAACCACACCACTGCGCGAGAATGTAGGTGGGAATGTAGGTGGGGAATGTAGGTGGGGAATGTAGGTGGGGAATGTAGGTGGGGAATGTAGGTGGGGAATGTAGGTGGGGAATGTAGGTGGAGAATGTAGGTGGAGAATGTAGGTGGGGAATGTAGGTGGGGTATCACATAGGCTCAAATGATGGCCCCGTAGGGACGATTGCGCCTCTAATAACACCTAGACAATTCGAGACGCCGTCGCATCGCTCACAGCTGCCCGGTGACGTCGGACCAATCTCTACAAATTCATATACATTTTTGAAATATACTTGAATTGATGACCACGTAGGCACCTGCGCAGTATTAACGTGTAAACGCTTAATAACTCATTCCTACGACGTTATTTGTAAGGTATCCGTAGAATTTCGGAACGAAAAAAAATGGCACAACGGTGCAGTTTCGATTTATTAAACCTGACCTTTTTTTGCCTTATCAAATCATAGCCCTAAACATGCGTTTTCGAGATACTTAGGACACTTTAAACGTCCATATTTTGCACTCAACGGCAATCTATCAACTATGAAAACTAATTGATTTACGGGTAGCCTGGATTAATTAAATTCATTCCTCTCAAAATGCAGTATCCAGGCTTTTTTCTGATGGAGAGTCACAACGAGAAACCGCGACTTGCAATGAAATGCGGCCAACAAAATACAAAGATCATTGTTACAAAATACAAGGCAATTGACACTGAAACAAGTGGCAGGATTGTAATAGCCAACACAATACAGTTGGCACTAAATACATGAGAGATGATGGTGATCGCCACCATTGTACAGTTGGCACTAAATACATGAGAGATGATGGTGATCGCCACCATTGTACAGTTGCACTAAATACATGAGAGATGATGGTGATCGCCACCATTGTACAGTTGGCACTAAATACATGAGAGATGATGGTGATAGCCACCATTGCACAGTTGGCACTAAATACATGAGAGATGATGGTGATCGCCACCATTGTACAGTTGGCACTAAATACATGAGATGATGGTGATCGCCACCATTGTACAGTTGGCACTAAATACATGAGAGATGATGGTGATAGCCACCATTGCACAGTTGGCACTATATACTCAGATGAGATGATGGTGATATTACACACGATGAAGTGTACCGACCTCCCTGAGCTCCTTGATCTTCTCGCCGCCCTTGCCGATGATGGCACCGGCCTGGGACTGGTGGACCAGAAGACGCACGTCGCTCTCGCCGGTGCGAGGGATGGCCTGCACACCACGCATGTTATGCCAGGTTATTGCTTACTTCTGTGCTGCAGTGCAGGGGTGCAGGGTATGTTGTACGTAACATCACCAATAAATATACTACAGAAACTAAATAATAATAATTTGATAATCAAATGGCTTCTGTATTCATATAGACATGCCAGGTTAGCGTTATTGTTTATTTCTGTGCTGCAGTGCAGGGTATGTTATACGTAACATCACCTATACATATACTACAGAAACTAAATAATAATAATACTAATTTGATTATTAAATGGCTTCTGTATTCAAATAGACATGCCAGATTAGCGTTATTGATTACTTCTGTGCTGCAGTGCAGGCTATGTTGTACGTAACATCACCAATACATATACTACAGAAACTAAATAATTATAATAATTTGATTATAAAATTGCTTCTGTATTCAAATACATAACATATTATCAACAAATACTTGTAAGAGGTCGATCATATCTTTCGAGAAGTCGCTTTAGAAGGCTCGACATAACCCAACACATACATGAGGTGCTAGGGTCAATTGATTGCCAAAAAATAACGCAAAAATAAACCCGTAAATATTTTCAAGCGATAAAAATGCACTACTCACAACTTGTACGAATTCCTAACAACTATTCCCCTATGCCTTGAAAAATACAGATACACACACCCTTTCAACTGAACGCCTTCATACTGAACAGCGCTACAAACTGATGTCCAACGACTTTTAAATTCAAGCTACTACCGCATTTACTATTTTTACACATTTAAGAACAATTTGTGGTCATTGGAAAACCAACAAGATATATTTATAAGAAAATATTCAGCCGTTCGTATTATTATCGACATGTCAGAGAAATGCACCGATGTTCAATGAATAATCCTAAAGAAATGTTTCCATATAAGCAAATTGAGAGCTAAGCCACTTAAAATTAACGGCTGCTTTAAACAAAGACTGTTAGAGGTAAACGCGAACATTTATATCGGTGAAACAGCCGAGATTCTTATGAGATATATTCTAAGAGATTTTTTTATCTTTTATATCTTCTAAGAGATATTCTTATGCTGCAAGTGGCAGGTTACTCGACCAGCACCGACACTCACCTCAGCCAGGGCATTGAGCACCTCTTCCAGCACCTTCAGCACCACGCTCTCCTCGCCCCGGATGGTCAACACTCTGTGGGTACATCAACAACAGCGTCACGTGACAATACCAATAAGATAAACTAGGGGCACATCCCCAAATATCTAGTGAATCCAGTCTGGAATAACCTTAAAAGTAACTACATCAACACCAACAGATACAACTGAAAAAACAACTTGATAAAAATACAACTTGCTACTTGAAATCGCAGCAAGTCCCCCTTGAGACATGTTTGAATATCATTGTTAACTGATTTCAGATCCAAATGTTATCGAAATTGTCATTACATAATTGATATAAATTCATAGAACGATCCATTCCAAGCCAGGCTAAGGTAGAAAATAAAACACAAGGGCCAGCAACAAAAATAAAACAACATTCCCGTAATATGCAAGGGACGTGGGTGGGCATTTTCATCCGTCAATAAGGAGTATCCGGTACCATCTCGCACAGCTCCGGCCACCATTATATTCAATGAACACATTAAGAAAACTGGGCGTAAGTTAGGACATGTAAGTAGATTTTATGCTACATTTAGTATATTAAGAAATGCTTGGTTCTACAAGCGGTCTTAAAACTGGGAAGTGAAACGAGTCCTACGAATAGAGGAGGTGCGAGGGAGGGCATTGTTAACACTCATGTACGGTTTGGTATCGTAGGTACGAAGTTATAAGCTTAAAGCAGCAGTTAGACAAGAGTTTTGGAGGTGTAATGTGAGGAGAGACTAGAGTTGTGTGGTGGCAACCACGTGGACAAGAGTTTGGAAAAACAATGGGCAACAACCATCAATACTAGTGACTGTGAAAAACAATCATGAATAATAGCATTTAATTCCGGCAGTAAATATGAATCCGGAAGGAAAATCATGCACGGGTTAGGACCTGAATGAAAAATATGAGAAATAAATAAGTTCCTGATCGTTCTAGTTTATACGGCGACGCGTTTGAAATCAGGAATTTGTTAACTTCTCCGAAACTGAGATGTGTCCATATATGAATACAATTTCAAAAACTCAATGCGCAATACAAAGCAACTGAATCTGATACCGCCCATATCAGCACAAAAACCAACTTCCAAGAGTGAGAAATCGCAGGCAGATACTACATACATGGCTAGACGATGCAGGACTAATAATGATATGGTATCAGCAAACCGCAACAATGATTGCTTAACGATCCTTCACAACGAAATTAAACTTGCACGCGCAGCGTTCGTTTTAATCACAGTCTTATGACTATCAGCAAAGCCAATTCATATCCAATGGCTAATCAACACAAATTTCCGTAATTAGTAACAATTATATGTATATGTTGTGAACTTTTAACCTTGAATGACGTGCAAAATCAAAAAGCCTTGAATGACGTGCACTTGACTGTCAGCATGTCAAATTACTGCAAGTGAATATGCTAAAGGGGAATTGGCCTGCAATCTCTGCATTATACCAAGTGTTGAGAAACGTTACGAGTAACGATTTTATTACAAAAGCAGTCAACCCTGTCACAGAGTCACCTAAATTTCAAAAATCGACCATCGAAAGTACAAGAAAAAAAAATCATTTATGATAAAGCTGCAGGATGACGATTTGCACAGAAGCGTCGTCAGCATTTGCCATTACAATCAAGAGACAAGAACGCACGTTTGGGCTACCCGTATTCATTCGAGAAATACTTCCGCAACACAAAGCTCTGAACTTGAACCTGTAATCTATTTAACAAAAGCTTACAACTCAGACTGAATTTCCTAATTGACATCTTGGTTAAAAAAATATATAATAAATAGATGAGGTACTACGAAGATGTTGTAGAATATGGATGCAATAAAAATTGAAACTTAAAAAGCAAGTCAAAGATCATATGGGATAATGGTCGAAGAAATGATCCTAAGCTTATCAAGTACATTACCGAACATTGCTCAACACGAGTTCAGCTGATATCATCAATAGCATGCAAGATATACATATCATAATTCGGCATATGTATTCTGGACAACTTTTCGTCGTGACACGTGGCGTGATACAATTAGTACAAGGAAAATAACATCAATTATGCGGCAACTTACTGAAAGCAATAAAAATAATTTATTGATAACAACGAAAAATTACAGTTAACACTTAAGGCAGAGAAGAAATTATAGCACGAACAGCCTGAGTATTGCAGAAAGACAAAGTCGGAAGCCATAACATTTGTGGGCACGTTAGTGCGATCAGCCGCTACGCATGTTTCAAAAAAGTGGAGCACAGCAAACAATTTGATCTTTGAATAAATTGAATAAATTCAATTAGTAACAAACCAAATTAATTTCCCAAGACAAACGGCTTGGAACACGAGCCCAACAAGCACCTGCATTATTTGATCTCTTTGAAGCCACTACCATAAGGTGCCAAAACTAAGTTCATTGCTTACACAGCATTCACACTTGGCACCTCCAGACTCAAAACTCGGTTAACTCATCCAAATGATTGCCATGGATAAATATTGAGAACTCTAGCTGGGAATGGGACGGGTGCTGAATTAAAGTAGGGAGCAACGCTTAGAGTGCACAATTCTACATTAGAAATACAATACGATCATGAATATGTTGAGTTTCATAGAATATGAAGAGAATATTAAGAACACGAAGCAATTTCATGTATATGTACACAATAATGAAGAGGCAGAATTGCCGAGTCATAAGAGAACGATGCGAAGTTATTTGGCGTGCTTATGGCAGGTGGGCAGAAAATGCCTGCACCAGCAGCTCGCTAAGACTATAAAGATCACTTCACACGCGGACGTCTACAGGGAACTAAGCTGTAAAGGATCAATCAATGAAGGGTTCAAGTTAAAACTTAAATTGCTCGCCTAGAATTGGTGGAATCAATAATTACCGTTCAGGGCCGGGACAATCAGGGATGGTAATAGTGGCCGTGTACTGATCATATGGGCCGAGGTGTTCACGATCAGGGGAGGAGGAGGGGGGACCAAAACAACCATACCCATGGGGGCCCAATACGTAGTGGGGACCAGCCGGAGTGAGGGGCCGGGGGGAGGGAGAGAGAGATAAGGCGCAAAATTAATCACTTTATCATCAAACTAATAGCTTCATCATCAGGCAAATCATCTAGTAAGTTTAACAATTCATCCTGTCACTAGAGGGAGACAGAGTTACAAGGCCGAGAATTAACAACTTCACAATTAAATCAATCTTAATTCAAGAGGAGAATAAATTTTGTATACCATTTCAATTTAACAGGATTGTGATTACTCAATTTGATTAGGATGGAAGTAGCCGAAATGTAATCTATAAATAGTTAATTGATCAATCTTGGAAAATAGTGAGCGAGTGTCTCGTTAAATAGAAAGTTCAACAATGAAGATTGTTTCAAATGATGAATAAGAAGAGAGGCAGTTATGCACAGCTTCAAGAGTCTCGACTCTCGACCGATTTACACTCTTGCAGGCTCTAAATAGAATGATCTCAACTAAACCATTCAAATACTATGGCGGTAGTGGGTGTAGCCAAGTAGCCGTCTACCAGTAAAACTTCTAATTTGATGCGAGAATTAACATACAATACGCATGAAATAAGCTAGGGGTTAAAATAAGAATTGAACGCCTGTTTGCAACTGAACAGGCGTGGTATGAGGCTCATAGACGACAACCAGATCTTAAATTTCAATAAAATCCGATAGGCGTTGAGGCGCTTGCGGTCATGGCTTCAGCAGCAAATGCTGAGCGGGTTTCAAGTAAAGGTATAATTTTTTTTCTGAAAGTAAAAGTTGGGTCGGACAGCAAATGCTGGCGGGTTTTTCAAGTCAAGTTATTTTTTTTCTGCGAAAGTAAAAGTTATCTCAACTAGTTGGATTTGTCGTCTTCGCACTTGATTGGTCTTAAGTCTATCAAAGCTTGGACATTTTTTTGTCTAAGCATATAATTGGCGTAGTTAACCAATGCATAAATAAATATTTTAATAAACTGATATTACAGATCACAGCCGAATTATTAAAAAAAACTTCTAAAACAGTAAAGAGATATTCACGAGTAAGTCTAAATACTTCCCATACTTTCTTTTGGCACACGCTTCGAAGAAACAATATACAACAACCTATTTGCGATAGACGTCGGCCAGCCAAGACGTTGCTAACAAATCCTATGGAAGAATTATTCCGGTGCCAGGCGGAGACTAAAGCTAAAAATTGCACGGGTGCCTGGGCATGGCGTATACCAAGCGACGCAAGTTTGGTCATTGATTATCACGAGAGAATATATGAGAGACGTGTTAGAAGCTGCGTCATCGATTGCTATAAGGCCAGTATATCAGTGGGTCTTCCATGCAATACGTCCACATCATGGAGAGGACTTAGAAAGACGTTGCACTTCCTAGTCCAAACACGATGCGTAAAGCAAGAATCCACTGTATGTGAACGCGTTTCATGGAAACCATTTCTATACAAAAAATAAAATAAAATCAATATAATAAAACGGCCACTAGAATTCGTCAAGTGAAAACAGAATAAAAAGGCTATTAGAGATCGTTAAACAAAATGCTTGAATGAATAGAATATTTGGGCAAATTTCGATCTCAACTTTTGCAGTCCGCTCAACCCTATAGGCACCATATTATCTACACTATCATTTGAGTGAAATAAATCTTTCTACACATGTTGGCGCTCCATTTCGACTCCCCCGAAAAATAGAATCGCAAACAGTAAAAATCTATCTTTATCTTTCGAAAAATATGAGATCCGTACATTTTCCCAGTTACTGAGTGCATCATTCACTGAATCTCTACTTCTCGACACTTTGACAAGTAAATCAACAACTAAATAATAGCAATACACTTTCCTAATATCTGCAATAGCGAACGATACACTAGCAACTTTAAGAGCTAATCCGTAACTAAGTTCATTGTTTCATAAGACCGTACATTATAGATCAGTCGCATGTGACAGCGCATCAGCAAAACGAGCATTACATAACTTAATGAGTTCACTATAGAGGTTAAAAAAGTAAATCACGTACTGTCACCCATGTACGAATACGAGCAGCAAAAAGCATTAGAAACCTCTTTTTTCAGATATGGCTTTTTTCATCTCAACAATGAAAGTTACTTGAACCAAATTTCACAACTATCTTAGTTATTCATTAAGTGACTTTCCACGACTAGCAAAATTAATCCTCAAAGTGAAGAAGTAAACTTCGTTGGAAAACCTCGCTTAACAAATGTAAGTTTGCAACCGAGACAAAAGGACACGAGCTGTCGATGAAAGAATCAATATGTAGCCAACCTACCTCGCTGCGCAGACGAGATATGTTCGAGCCTCCTTTGCCTATGATAGATCCAGCAGTCTGAAATGGGGGGAGGGGGGAAATTAGACGTGCTTTAATCATGTCTCAATTAAATGAGACACGAAAGAAAACTATAACTATGTAGGCTGCTCTGCGAATCTCGCTTTGAACCCCTCAGATTAGTGCATGGTTAGGCAATGAGAAACAACGAAATTTCAACCAAACGGCAATTTAATACAGAAAATTTTATTTCGAAAGTTGAATAAAATAATTTTTAAATATGATGCTGATGGGTTAAGCTTACATTTTTTAGTAAATTATATAACAGTTTCCTTACAAAACATAATAACTAAAGATAGAAGAACAAGAAGCCACGGAAGTCTCACCTTGGCTTGGATGAGCAGACGCACTTCAGCGTCTCCCGACGAGCGCGAGCGCTTGGTGCTGGGAGAACTTTCATTGGACTGCACGCTCTCAGACATCCTTTTCATACCTGTACGAATATCACGTATACGCTTTAAAAACAACTATAACTACACTTATGTTGATATCTAGATACTACTGACGTGTGATGTACTGATACATTAATATATGATAGTTTTTGGTAATTTGAGTAATGGTGCCACGATTGGTTAAACCAATGGATGGAATGCGTCCATTGAAATGTGTATTCTTAGCGCGTGCCAAAAATGAAGAATCCTATCACATAAATGAAGCAAACAACACTCGTTCAAAAATTACGTGTGTAATTAAAAGTAGAGCGATCGATTAGATTACAGCACATCACATGTATAATAATATAGATTTAAAGATATCTTGGAGTCTCGGTCGGATTGAATCGACCAGAGTTTGTTAAGAGTTAAGACGATCAATTCAGGCTTCCCAAATTCCAATGGTAGTTTCTTCTGAAATATATGATAACCATCATCACCTTGGAATATTGTTTCAACGGTCGCTTAATGGAACCACACACACAAACATATTCTGCTGACATGGATAAGCACACCAAGATACGAGTGTATAAGTCCAATTTCTCGGAGAGAAATAACGAGGGGAACTCGCAGGGTGAATAAGCGAGGGAAAAATAAAGGGATTAAAAGGCTGCTGAGACACTGCATTCCGTTGTCGTTGGCAGCACCGGCATTAAAAACGGATGACTCGGCAGGGATGGAGGTCATAGAACGAGGAAACACAAGCGAGTTAGGTACGATCATGCCGATTAGCTTTCAATGTACAAGAATACATGGTCTTTTCCCACTCGAGTTCGCACGAAGAGCTCAGCTTCACCTAATGTCAGTCAAGTGATGCAAGTCCTCAATTTGCATCGACTTGCATCACTTAAGATGGCTTCACTCAACTGACTACAGAGAGGCTCGTAGCAGAGGCACATTAGAGCTGACAATGGAATGCAAGAACAAATGAGAGCACGAGACATTGCCCAACTCTGTGTACCTGGAGCCAGGGATGACATAGCAATTAATGCTGTGAGGGTCGCAGCTGAAGTTTTCAGACATGGAATACAGGGACACTCTGGAGTAATGGAGAGCCTGCCTCGAGTGCAGGCAAGGACTAACAAGTGCTGCTGCATACAAAGGTTGGGGAAGGCCATGAGTGGAGTCAGAGCGGGGCTTCGGAAATCATACAAGACATATCCAAAGGGAAAATTAGTTAACGAAAAAATCAAACAGAAAAATTAGGCGGAAGTCATTATTTATAATCTGAAGAAAATCGGAAATTTAAATTTATAATTTCAATAGCGGAGAAGAAAGATTAGTAACTTAGCAAATGAGGATAGATTTTCCGTGAAATAGCAACAAGTAAGTGGAGCAACACATACATTGGGTATGCTCAAAATGAATACAAACACTTGAAATACGTAAAGTCGTCTGTCTCTGACATGAAGGAAAAAAAACGCAAAAAGTGTCCGCATCACTGTCAAGTGAACACTGGGTAAACCATCTGGGAGTAAATGTTAAGGAAATAAATACTTGGGGTAAGCCCCTTCCCAGACATACGTGGGGGAAGTACACATATGTGGGAAAAGTTGGTGTCGTAATAACCCAAGGCAGGGGAAGAGGGCCTATGGAAAATTTATTAATTGTTTGATAAATGTTTGGAACGCACACAGCAGGAGCGAGAGAAAGAAGGCATCAATTGATACTTAACGTTGGGGACTTGATACGCAAAGGGAAAGAAAAGGGGCGAATTAACACCAGGATGAGGGACAAACTGACCATTACACCAGAGGGAGGGAGGGAAGGGTCCACTCGTTTCCTAGCGCTGGGGACCCACGGGAGGCGACACCAGGGCACGAGATCACACCAGAGGGAGGGAGGGAAGGGACCACTCGTTACCTAGCGCTGGGGACCCACGGGAGGCAACACCAGGGTACGAGGTCACACCAGAGGGAGGGAGGGAAGGGACCACTCGTTACCTAGCGTTGGGGACCCACGGGAGGAGCTGCCATCAGAAATGGGACTGTGGGAGCATCGAAGATTGTCACGTGCCAAAGGGGAAGCCTGTTGTAGAGGGGGGGCAGATGGGGAGGATACACCATTGCCCACAACCCCAGATGGGGGGGCGCAGCTGTCCACACGAGCGCAGCAGGAGCTCGCTCCTCTATCAATGTTGTCCGAGGAATATTCAACTACGCCCATCAGGGGACTTCATGAGCAACACAAACTCCTATTGGACTATTTAGGTACAATGTACAGAATAATACCTTACGTGTCTGGTTCAATGGAAAAATAACGTTCGGTCACGTCAAGTAATGAAAGTCTAGAGGGAGAAATGGCGGAATTTTATGAAATCAAGCTAAAATATAGACATAAAGTTTACGTAATTCCAATTATAAGTGCACCGGTATTGATAACGAGCGCAACCTCGGCCTGAAATGAAATCGCAACAATTCAAAAGAATTGATCCCTAGAGTATCTAGCATGATCAATGGTAAAAATCGACATTGATGCTCAACATTGAATCGACAATTCCCAACTTTAGGCAGAGTACACGAACACTTCTAAGTACTTCGCAATTTGCCTCCGGAGCGGCTGAACAGATCTTCTAAACTTGAACAGGATCGAAGAGTGCAATTTACAGACGGGAGCTTGGCATGCTCACTGAGTTATTCAGTAAGGACGAAACAAAGCCAGCAGAGGAAAATAAGAGGTTTGCTAACTAAGCGCCGAAATTTGGCATTATTCATACTTTGCTGACAAAGAATTCATATTACCAGGAAATTTCATTAAATCAACTGTTTTTCGCTGTATTTTTTTCAATGGAACATGGTACCACGCGATCATCCTCAAAATTTCGAAAGATTTTATACTCCAAAGTACCAAAAAGGCACCATCAGCAACATTTTTCTAAAGATAAATGAACTAAAAATCGAAAAAAGTAGAAATGCATATGACTTACGTTTCGGTCGACAATTTTTTTGGATGGGGACGTACGGCGCAACGGTACGGAGCGGATAGAAACTGACTGAAATTTTCTCTTTTATGGAAAATGTTGATAAATCAAGAGGACCAGTCGCCTCTAGCAACTACTGGACTAAAGTAACGGGACTACCTCTGGGCGAACTACAAAGCCGAAGTCTTATTAAGATCCAAAAAACGCACGGAGCGTTGTACCGAATTCAAACAAGTTCCTTGGTGGCAAAATTTCGGAACGCTTTTACAACGGAAGTGAAATCATCGGAAGCATCACAGTGGCTTAGACTCGCAATAGTCACTGGAATACAAGGCGAGGGCAGACCAGCGCCCCTTTGTTGTGGAGTAGCCATGGTTACCCGAGCAGGCACAACACAGCAGTAGCCACGTCTACGTAGCGCGCCGCGTGACGGTAGCAGAGGGGTACAGCAGAGAAGCGCTACCGAGTGCATGGAAGTCAGGGGCAAACAACAGGTAGTCAGGCGTGTCTGTGTGTGCGTGTGTGTGAGCGTGACTGTGTACATGTGTGTCGGTGTGTGCGTGTGTATCTAACGCAACAACAGGTTGCCAAGAGACGCGTACCAAACAAACGCTTTTGGACAAGTGGCGCGTCAATACCTCTACTCAATATTGCAGCGTTTCAATCCTGTTGAATATCAACCCAAAGACTTTTGTGTAACACCATATGGGTCAATAGCCAGGCATCAGATTACATGGTGCCAGAGCACTACCATGGCACATCAAAGCTTCTAAGAATAAATCAACCATTGCCAGACCTCTCAGAACGATTACAAACCAAATGGTCTCTCCTTAGGTCAATTTTTAATGTTGAAAGAAACACCAATCAAAAGTATTCAAAAACCAAGAAGTTGTGATACATGCAATAAAATGAATAAATGAATGCTTCTCATAACAAATTTTGGAAGAATTTCTGACAATAATACAGAAAATTTCACCATTTCTAAATGTTCACTTAACAATCAAGCCCCACAAATTCAATAGTCTGCAGCTTCAACAGCAATGTTAAGAAAAATTTTGAATTTCTCAAATACAGCAACACTCAAATAATGCTTGGAAATCCATTTGAAGATTGATCAACAGCATTATTTTTCTCATTCTAAGAATCATAGAAACTGGCATTTTATCTGAACAAATGCACCAAGTTACAAGTCCTGTATAACTATTTCTACCATCCCCTTACTTGAACAACAAATCAGCTGAGTTCAAGCTATTTCTTACTCACAATGATTGCTTTTTTCATGTAGATGAGTTACAAGTCCAACCATAAACTAGGATAATAATTCAATTTTTTTAAGTATTGATTGTTAATACTCTCACTTCAAAGTTAACAAACCAAGTGAATTTTAATTTCTTATAATGCTTATGAGCAGGAACTAATTAATGGCTCATACTCATCACAGCCCTTTTAGCAATGTTTTATTGCAGTGTTCCCTCAATTTTCAGGATAAAAGTCATCTGTAAAATACTCCCTGAATTCAATAGTCTGCAAAGGTACTATGAGTACCTACTTATAGAAATGAAGAAGCTGTTGTTCACCTCTGTCGTGCGCCCGAACCTAGAGTTTGGAAACGTTGTGTGGTCACCAAGACTTGAAAAGGACAGAAATTTAGTTGAGAGTGTTCAAAGATGTGCAACAAGGATAATTCCAGGCTTAACGGGCTTTCTTATGAAGAAAGATTGAAGATTATGAAGCTTCCCAGTCACCTTTATCGTTGCCTGCGTGGTGACCTCATTGAAGTATACATGTATGCTCATGGTTTGTACAAGGTCCCAGTAGGATTACTAGAATTTGAAACAAGAACCAACACCAGGGGCCACAGCTATAAACTAAAAAAAACATAAGTCAGTACTCACTGCAGTGAGTGACAGAGAGCGCATTTTCTCATCGACAAAAACTTGAGGTCACGGACAGATGGACGGACGGAAAGACAGACAAATAGACGGACGGACAGACATGGCAAGCACAATAGTGCATTTTTTCATAAATGAGAAAATGCGCTAAAAACTGCAGTGTAACTTATCCATGCGACAACATTTCTTC